GAAACATCTTGATCAACATGTGTATACATCTATACCCCTTCAGTACATACATTACCTTACTCACCCTTTCTTCCCTCACTTACCGCATCCCTTTGTTCAATGCTCACCATGATTCTCCTCAATTTACACCCTCCACTTACTAACCTCCAGCAGATGGGCCTGGCAAAATCCACACATAACTCTTCACATCCCACCATCAGCGCGAATTTCACATGCCACTCAAAAGAAACGATCGGGTCATCCAAAAAGACCTCGACATTCCCTTCAATCACTCTTATCAAACCTACATATTTTACTTAGTGTTTCATCATTTTCACGATGGCCATTAGAAGTAAGATTCTTTGCACCGGATGTTCATAAGGCTTGGGTTAAATGGGCGAAAGCGGCCACTGGATCTCTGAGGGATACTTTGCCCATCATCACAGATTTTCCACCAGCGGAATCAAAAGTGAGTGACGAGAATGGTGAAACCAGAGACCGACCCTATGGAATTGAAGCTTTGAAGGTAGCCTACGAGGACACCAAATCGCATTTAGAGAAAGGGGAACGAGTCTTTCGTTCTGTTATGAAAGAATCGTGCGATATTTGTGACCAAGACCTTCAACACAACTCGGGTCTCTACACCATTTGTCCGAACATAGATTGTAATTCGATCACCCACATGACATGCTTGAGTCAACACTTTCTCCAAGGCGAGAAGGATGAGCAATCAAGTGAACAATTGGTTCCTGTCAAAGGGATGTGTCCTGGTTGTCAGACCGAAATTCGATGGAATGATGTGGTGAAAGAATTATCTCTTCGAACGAGAGGTCAAAAAGTTGTGGAGAAATTATTGAAACCAAAAAGAGCAAGGAAAGGAAAGGGTCCTGCAACATCGCAGGCAATTGTGGAAGCTGAGGGCGATGAAGGGGAAGAAGAGGATGAACAGGAACAGGAACAGGAAGAGGAATCAGAAGATTACTTTGATGCAGATGAATTTCTTGCACAAGATGTCGAGCGAGAGGAGAATGCATTCATGGATTATCTTGATCCCGACGACTCCGATGCTGTATCCAATATCAGTATGGAAAGCAGTAAATCACTAAAGCGGAAGAAGACAATCGGTCCTATTACCAAACCAAAGCTTATTACTGTTATTGAGGATAGCGATTTGGATGAAGGGGAAGAATTGGCATGACGGTGGAATTTGAATAGAGTTTTATGTATATTTGGAACAATCCACTTCGATCCAGGGACTCACTTCTTGGGAGTGAGTTGATGAGTTCGAATTTGAGGTAATCTTACAATTGAATTGTTTGGAATCGACACCCGATATATACTTGTCGGATCTCTGCAAGCAGGGGATGATGACATGCCCAGGTGTGGATTAGAATTAGGTACTCGGTATGTACTCGAGCTTCTTCAATCCAAATCACACCAAATCGAAAGTTGGAACTTGGAGTAGAGTGGAGTGCAAGTTGATTGTGGACTCTCGCTCTTTAGTCGAACTCCCACTTTCACCATCACTTCTGGCTACTGTTATGTGCCCTATCTTATGCGGCGGTGAACCAATTGCAACGTCGAATCTATCATGGTTGATTCATTGTCTACTACGTGTTATCCATTATCGATGATGGTAGAAGCTCGAAGCTCTTTCTAAAGACAATCCACTCTCATTAGTCTCATGGACACTTTTTCGACGGTGCAAATTCAACAACGTTCTTAATGTATTGTACAGTACATATACACCTCTCTATACCATGGAAGAAAGACGGCCAAGACTGACATCCCTCTCGAGAGACAGGACCACCAGACTAGTTCATCCCATCGGCGAAAGAAAAGTCTTTTGCTCTCGGCGACCCAAGCGTCTCCATTTCTAACCCCACCATCACATTGACACTTGACTTACTTTGTATACCTACGACCTAGTACTACCCTCACCACCCAGTAACAATATCGTACGCATACTGTAGTCTGTAGGTTCATCTCCCGAGGTCCAACCTAATCAGAAGAATTGCTCATCGATTCCCATCAATTGCCCGTCAATTAAATGCCTCAATTGAGAGGTCACCATTTTCATCGATCAATCCCAAGAATGGACTTGATTCTCATCAATCACCTTTTGATTCCCGTCTTCAAACTTGGGAAGAATAATTGCCGATTCAACTTTTCTCTTTCATCACGCTCACCAACCAGGCTATCCAAGGAAACCATCATCCCCCTCATCTCCGCATCTCCACACTTTTCATTTTCATTTTACCCCGCTGCCCACCAATTTTCTGGGAATCTTCTGGGAATTCTGCAAGATTTCTGTACCCCAACCCCATCCTCCTTTGCATCTCAACCTAGTAATAAACCATCCACCATCCACCATCCACCATCCACCATCCACCATCCACCATCCACCATCCACCATCGACAATCCACCCTTTTCTCTTTCATCCTTCACTTGACAGTACAATTAAAGGTAAATCTTCGGCACTTACTCATGCACTCCGCAAATTCAAACAATTAATGGATCCTCTTCTCTTTCCATCCAATGACAGATCGAATCCATCGGGACGTCACTCGTCACTCGTCACTCGTCACTTCTCCACTTTATCATTTTACCATTCGTATACCATATGACAAACGAGTCTTTGATATGGGCATGGATGAGAATTGAGATGGCCAAGGCAATATCCATAATCAAGAATGGACGGAGCATTTTCGAGAAAAGTACAAATACACGATGATTCCGCCGTCACCCATCCAGCTTTTCCCATCAAGTTCCTTATTCTCTTAACTGTTACCTCTTTGATCATGTTCCTCCATCGGGATCTCATACCCGTCCTTTCCCTCTGGGCTCCTTTGGTCTCGGCAATTCCTACGATTCGTTCCACCGCACCGAGTGTTACGGTCAAGAATGGATCCTACACGGGACTTCACAATAGTTACTATAATCAAGATTTCTTTCTGGGAATTCCCTATGCTCAGGTTGGTCATCTTTTATCTTTTTTATGCCATCTTTCTGATCCTCTCTTTTTCTCTATCGTTCTCTCTCTTTCTCTCCCTCCTTCCATCTCCCTATTTCCTTTTCCACCCTCCTCTTCCTTATATGTGACTAACCCTCACACTCACAGCCACCAATCAATGACCTCCGTTTCCGCGTACCTCAAAGTCTAAATGAATCATGGACAACTTCCAAATCAGCAACAGAATACCCTCCATTCTGTGTAGGATATGGATCAGATGATTTCGAACAAGAAACTGATGAGGATTGTCTTTACTTAAACGTAATCCGCCCATCATCCGTTCCGCTCAATGCATCACTACCTGTAGCCTTTTGGATCCATGGTGGTGGTTTCTTTGAAGGTGGCTCCGGAGATGCTCGCTATAATCTATCATTCATTGTTCAAAACAGTGTAGATATGGGCACACCAATGATAGGTGTCTCAATCCAATATAGACTCTCTGCATGGGGCTTTTTGGGTGGCAGTGAGATGTTAGAGACTGGAAATACAAACTTGGGTTTCAGAGATCAAAGATTGGCTTTGCAATGGGTCCATGAAAATATCGGATCTTTTGGAGGAGACAAGGAAAAGGTTACTATTTGGGGTGAAAGTGCTGGAGCTGCCAGTGTTGGTGCTCAAGTATTGGCTTACAATGGTTTGTTCATCTATTGATTCCTCGACTCTTTTCTTCTACTTGACTACTTACTAACAATAAATAGGACGTGATGATGGTTTATTCCGCGCCGCAATTTCTGAATCGGGTGGTCCAGCAGTTCTCTTTTTCCCAACTGATTACCCCGGTGTCTATAACTCCACAACACCCCAAAAACTCTTCACATCCGTCGTCGCAAACACAACTTGTGCATACCTTCTCGGTCTCAACACCACCTCTACAGATTCTTTGGAATGTCTTCGTAAACTTCCCTTTTCAGAGATGAATGCAGCACTTAACACAACAGCTGGTGGCATTGGTCCTTTCTTTCCATACATCGACAATGATTTCATCGCCGATTATCCCAGCAAACAACTTTCCTCTGGAAATTTCGTCAGAGTTCCATATCTCATTGGTACAAATACCGATGAAGGAACGGCCTTTGGATCCGGCTATGGACCCAATGGTACTGGAGTCAACAGCGACTCTGAATTCTCAGACGTGCTAAACAGCACCGGATTGCTCACCGGTTCCGATGCCAATTTGGAGATTCAGAAACTCTATCCAAATGATCAAAGTGTCGGCATTCCAAGTCTCGAAATGTATCCCGAGCTTTACACACCCGAGAACCCATTAACAGCAAAAGTCGGCCTTCAGTACCGTCGTGTTTGCGCTTACATGGGAGATCTCGTCATGCAAGCGCCTCGACGTCTCACCGCCCATTCCTGGACCAAGTTCGGCGTGCCTGTCTATACCTATAGATTCGATGTTCTTGTAAATGGTGTACCAGCTTCTACTGGCGCGACACATTTCCAGGAAGTAGCATTTGTTTTTAATAATACTCAAGGACTTGGATATGATACTTTAGTCGCGGTCGATCCATTCGCAAATAAAACCCAGAACTACTTTGACTTGGCTCAAGAAATGAGTCAGAGATGGGTAGGATTTATTGTCCATGGGGTTCCAAATGGGGAGACTGGAGTGAGCTGGCCTAATTACGCGGGAAATACCACGGAAGGGGAAAAGAACTTGGTGTTCAATGTTACGGGTAGTTATACTGAGGATGATACGTACAGGAAAGAGGGAATTGCGTATATTAATGAACATGCATTGGATGTTTACGGGATTTAAATCTAGGAGGGGAATTACGTAGATACCGCTTTTGAAGAAGATGAATAATGAGATATGAATTTTTTCTTTGGATGTTTTTTTCTTCAAGAATAGAAGTTGATGGTGAATCCATACATGATTATCGTCCATGTCTTTAGCAATATCAATATCTATCCAGGTAGGTAGGTCTTGCGAAGATTGACAGATGATGATAACTAAGGGCAGAGAAATAGGCAATTCTCGGATCCGGAAGTAATGTGAAAATGTCAGGGAATATGAAGAATTGAGGATGCAGATGTTTTGAATTGATTCTTGAAGGAAGGGAGATGACGGAAGAAAGAGGGTTTGATTTGAGCGTTGGGACTATTGCGCTTGGTGAGCTCAGCAGGTGCTGCTCCAGTAGGGCTGGCGAAAACGCCAGCTACAGCCGCAGCAGCGACAAAAGCAGTAGTAAAGGAGATCATGATGTCCCAATGAAATTTTTCCTAAGGAAAAGATATCTTGAAAGGAAGCGATGTTCGATAGGATGCAAGTGATATATCTGAAATATGCGATGAGGCTGCTCAACTCAATCTATATATCTCCTTTCATAGTTGTCTATTCCAAATTGATGGCTAAAGTAAACCAAGAACCTAATTTAACCGCAATATATTTTTTCAATAGCCTGAAAGACGACAATGAGATCTGCTGAGTTGGAGGAATCACAGAAAGTGGGTGTTGCAAGGTATACTTGCCAGTGATTGTAGTATAGAACCCGGGCTCTATGTGGAGAACCGAGTAATTTAGCTCCTTAATTTTCATGTCGGCAGTTTTACATATCAACAGCCGGGAGAAACAATTTGTCTTTTCTAGTACTAGACATCTTTTCTCATTTTCACAAATGAAACTCATTTCTCTAGTATTATGCAAATATAAACTTGGCTCAAAGGGCTTTATATAAACTTTTAAGCTAGTCCGTCGAAATATACACTGATAGCTTCTACTGGAAATATTTACAGTGATAGTAGTGGCTATCAGAAGGTTGGATTTATGAACACTGGAATGAGTTAGCCTGGGCGCATTAAACTCTACAGAAAGATTCAAACCTACCTGGGAGTACCAATCATTGCTAAAAGTGCAAGTTGTACCGGATTCACAGCTCGAACACCCTGTCCATCCCGTGCCTCCGCATTGACCGTAACGCGAAGCAAGACAACCACCTGGTGCTGCTGTACTCGAACTAACCGGAGAAGTCGTATCAACATTGGAAGAGCTAGAAGTCTCAGTCTTTGAGGTGGTGATGCCGGAAACACTCGTTGTGCTGCTTCCTGCACATGCTTGAGAAATACAAAACCATGCCAAGTCATTTGTCTCGTGAACCGGAACAGTGTGTCCTACACCTACAGCCGAATATCCGACGAGCTTTGTGCCGTCTCCATAGACGATCTGTGTGTAAGATGATTGTGGTGAGTTGGTGACGTTACGTGAGAAAGTAACACCGAGGACGTTGGACCACTCTTTGAGCGATTCGGCCAAATTCTGGTAGTATAACGTTGTATCAACAGTGCCGTGCCAGCTTCAAAGTCATACATTAGCATAAACGAGCCAACTGGAAGGATATGTTTGACTTACATCAACATTTTCGGTCTAGACCCTGTGTAGCCAGGATAGTAACTGCGGACAAGATTGCCCCAAGTCTCAGCACTTTGGACGGTTTTACCGTTCGCGCATTGAGAGTTCCACGCCGGCGTGGCCATTCCGGCGGTAGCACTCGCGACGTAAAAGCAGCCATCCGGGACGCCAGAATAAACGCTGGCAGCCTGGAAAACCTCGGGGTATGCACCGGCTAGGACATTGGTCATCATCGCGCCGGAGCTGCTTCCTGTGACATAAACTTTGGATGCATCACCACCGTAGTTGCTGACTGCATATGATACCATGTTGACAATAGTCTGACTATCTCCGCCGCCATTGTGCGTCAATGATGCCTTTGATGAGACATCCCAACATCCACCAGAAGAAGGAGAGTTTGGATAGATGACAATATAGCCGTAAGTGTCAGCGTACTGTGCGTATTTTGTTTCCCCAAAGTAACCTGATCCTGTTCCTTGACAATGATGAATTGCAACGATGATTGGAGCGAGGGCTTTTTTAGTCGTTGGGACATAAATATACATGCCAGCAGCCGTGGGTCCAGATTTGAATGCGGTGACCTGCTTCAAAGAGGATGTGAGTGCAGTAACCGAAGTTGCTAAGGCGAACAACGCCGCGAGGGAAGGAAGGAGATGCATGGTGGGTGGGCGTCGGGGTTAGAAGTTGTTGATAGTGGCTTTGTAACTTTTGGTCGTGAGAATTTGTCTTGATTTATAGTCTTGAATCATGCTCGTCCGAAATCAGCCCTCGAGAAGCAATGAGGAGAGAATATCCCTGCCTTTCGTCCGATTCCACATAGGGACGAGGAAGCCGTTTGGCAGCAGTCAATTTTCGTATTAGTGTACAAAATCGTCTCCACCTGCTTCGTATATTTTCAATCTGTAACCGCTCATCCTCCTGACTCCTATTTAACCTTAAGTCGGAAAATTAACACGCAGTTCATGCGACCCGAAATCGATCACAACACCAAGACAAAGGTGGGGAAACTGTTTCCAGATCTCGAAGGGAGAAATCATGAGAGACGAATCATCGAAGTGCCGATATTAAATGCAAAGCTTATTCCCCGCAAAGAAACAAAGTTCTGTTTCAAAATTAGGCAGATTAATTACAATCTAATCAATTTAGGCTTGGGGCTTATAGCCTAAAACACAAGCTTTTGGGCTTTCCCCACTAAATTGCCTTGAGGTTAATCTTATTTTAAAGTAGGGTATAATATATCCGTATATTGAAATGATAATGTACGAAGTATATGACTAGCCGAAGTTGCTTTTCTCAGCCGTTACCAGCTATTTAACGACGAAACACAATGTTGCAACGTCGTTTAGCATGATGGTACTTCCGTACGTCTACCAACAACATTTGACAGCCCGAATTTAGTGCTATGTGGTTAAAGTATTTTCCTAAGCCCGACCCATCATAGGGCCGGCGAGAAGACTTCGACTTTCACGATCCACTATTCGGGGAAGTGAGGTCCCACTTCATTGTTCCAGCCTCCCGCGATCATGGCCATAGCCAGCATGAAGGCGCTCGCTCCCGGGAAGTACGGAGTGGGTACTCTATTACTCTCCGGATACCCTGCCTCACTCTGGACGGAAAAACGGACACACCAAAAATATGTTATCACTTCCGAAATTCATTTTTAAATCAATGATCGATATTTTTAATTTTTGTTTGAAGCAAATTATTTACAGGTTGATATTCTATAATATTATTTTATTATATTTAATTTACTATGTTATTTCAAATTATTATTGAATTTTGAATTAATAATGTTTTGAAGAAAGTCTTGATTTTAGCGGCTTTGATGTGCCCGTTTTTCCGTCCAGAGTGAGCCTGCGTCATCAAAGGAAAACGCAGGATCCAGAAGGTATGCCATAGCTTGGTTCACATTACCTAATCTCAACTGATTCATTGCGAGCAGTGGCCAGTCCCAGCCATAAAGATTATCCCAGTTCCATTGCTTGAGAACTTTCTCTGCGGCATTCCTGACGCATGTCATATTCAGCGCCGGGCCACTCCTTGGAGGTGGTAGAAGACCATATATACCTGTCATCGCCGGGTGGTCCTCAACGGTGATATTATTGCCCCACATGTCAGGGATTCCTTCGTACACAGCTAATGCACTATCAACGGTAGGTAGTGGAGCGAGATTATCTCTGACAGTTGTCCAGCTTGTCGGCACCTTCTCATCTAATTTTTCTTTCCAAGTAATGGCGATGTCTAGCCCAAATCTCCAGTAAGCAATCTCGAAAGCCGGGTTTATTGTTACGTTCTCATTGGTATTTTCTGACACAGGATACATAGGTGGGCCGACATCGTATACTTTTGTGCTATGGTTATAGAACGCATAAGATGCCATGAAATCCGCAGAAGCTTCTAGAATGGAATTCCACTTCCGTAGAGTGGTGGTATTTGGGAATGAACGGTATTCGAGCTCTGCAAAATACATTGGATGGGGCTGCTGCCAGATAAGTAGGGCATTGATATCGCCTGGTGTAGATCTTCCCGTTGGATCAGACATCTTTTCCCAGCGAGCACCATCATAACCTTGTCTCCTTGCTCGTTGATATGATGACGGCAGGAATAAATCGTACATTTTTGGGATGCTACGCCACAACATGGTCCAACGATTCCATCGACCCCAATGAAGAAGATGCCACAGCGTCATCTCGAGGTGGAATTTCCCATACCATCCATTGTTGGTCAGGCCTGACTCCTGTGGTGACATATTGTTGGGTGCTTCATTAATGGCCAGCAGATACTGAGAGAGGACTGTTCTGCGCTAAAGCTCTTTGGCTTTACTCGATGATGATCCAGTCAAGTCAATGAAAGCTCCGTCCTGCCAGTAAGATTCCCACCATGTGATGGACGCGTTGGCAATGGAGGAGTAGTCTTTTTCTCCCGCCATGAAGGATGGGGAGAACTGTGCGGTAAGTTGCGCCTGGGTTACTCCGTTTGCACAGCCGAGTATGTAACGATGGGTATCAGGAAGCGGGCCGATGACTTGGCCATCACCGTTCCAAGTGATCGAGTTAAAGTATGTGGTATTGTCTATATTGTGCTGGATTACGACGGCGGCTCCAATTTTCGTTGAAAATTTCGTATCGTGTTTCGTAACCGCGTTAAAAACTCCGACCGAAGGCGAATCGAACTTGGTGATATCGGGGTAGGGGTAATCAAAGAAGATCCCCAACTCTCCGGCTGACAACAGCGAGGAATGAATTTGGATGGCCAGCGTATCAAAATCTGGATCGCACCAAGTGGTTACATTGACATTTGAACCATTCAATGCAAACGAGGACGAAATCTTTCCTGTCCAAAGGTCTAAAAACTGGATTTTCTGAGAAAGTGTGCCTTCATTGATTGCAGAGAATCCAATAGTTCCCAGATTTATTCTCTGGGGATTATTAACAAGCCAGTCCGAAATATTTGACTCGGCTGGATTCTGGATCTCGTAATTAACGAGACGTCCATGAGTCGAGTAATCCAATCTCGTGAAGTCTAGTATGATTCAATGATCTAGCGATGCGACGAGACAAGATACAGAGATCATACCGTCTATGGAAGTCTGGTTAGCTGCAGTCGGTAAACTGAAGTTATGCCATCCCCAGCTAGAGAGAGTCGCAAATGAAGTGAAAGTTTGCAAGCCAGTTACATCGACCCCAAAAGCAAAGTTGCCGTTGCCAACCTGCAGTGTAATCCTGGAGCTTGCATTACGTCGAGGGTTGAAGGCCTCGACAACTTGTTTTCTATTGATCAATTCTCCCGCATTTGCCAGCGGCAGGAAAGTTGGAAAGGCCAGCAAGAACCAGACCGTACTGATTATCATAACAGCGGTGGCAGATATCGGCGCATGGGTGATAGCAATTGTAGCAGTGGTAGCAGTGGTAGCGTTGTTAATTCCGTGGGTTTATCGGGCTCAGCATTGTTAGAACAGAATGAGTCACGAATGGATTCCCATTCAGCATGCATTATTGCTAATTTTGGCTGAGAATCCGAATGACTCCGCAGTGCGCACATACTGACTGTTTCACAAACTGCTATCTAGCTGGGGGTTTTCGCGATCTGCTCATCTATTTGCTATTCCAGTCCCTTGAATGAAACCTCGACGGCGGATCAACATACCGAAATGGCGAGAATCATGCGATCCTATGCCGACCAGATACGGTAGACAATCTTCCCCTAAAACTTTTATTTAGCCTATTGAACATGCGGAGTAGACGAGTAATGCGGGGTAGTGTGGGGTTATAATGACTTATACGAAGGCCATGATATATTCTGTCCAATTTGGTTAGAGCGCATCATACTCTATTAGTACATCTTAAATGTGGAAATATTATTTGCTTGAATTGCGAATTATTCGTATTAGACACTCACTCAGACATCCCATACTGCGCTCCGAGTCTTCACCCTACGAGGAATTTCATCCGCCAAGAGCTCAAATCACTTAACTTATTTTGAGTGAGTATTAATATGAATACAAAATGCATTGTGCATGACTGTAGAGTCCTACGTCTGGCCATATAGCGGTGGAAGAAGAAATTAGGTGAAGGCCATGAATTACTTGTAAATCATAGTAGTACTACATCGACATTGACCAGGCTCTCCGGCGTAGAAATAAAAGGGCGACAACAATTCCTCAAAGACAGTTGGACAATGAAAACATAATAATTCGTGTAATCAACCGGGGTATTTGACAACAATCATCAGCAATAATTTATTGTCCCAAATCGGTCTGTCTTTTCTACCCCAGAGAGCCGGGGTTTGAAATAAGCATCAGAGATCCAATCATAGGAACAGTTACATCTGCCCTATTTACTAGGTACCGGAAATATCCATAGCATAATTATCAACGTGTAGCACCTTGCCTTCCAGCCCACTAGCTTTATTTGGAAGCCCAACTTCACATCGCTCTGGAAACATTTTTGGAATTATCTGTGGAAGCATCTGAAACATGAAAACGAGAGAGAAAATGACATCATTGAAGAGAGGAGAAAGAGATACGTCTCGTAATTGCTAAACCTCGGCAAGCTGACAAGTTGCAGACTGGCCCTTAAGCTCTTGCTGTAAATTTTGGAGCCTGTGCAGTGACAGTAGGCGTAATTCGAAAGACGTCGATACTTCACAACAGTTAGTCTCCGTCTCCAGGAATCATTTCAACCAAGTTACTCACTAGTTATAGCCACCACAAGGCTCCTCGGAATTGCCAGTACATGTGTGATTGCAGTTAGATGCGTCAGATATAACACCAGAACTTGAAATGTTGCTACCACACCAACACTCCCTGCATCGAACGAAGAAGAGTTAGTAGATGGATCGAGTTATAAAATCCTTGATTATATGACCCCACTTACTGCCCATATTCCAGACCAGCATATTGATATCCAGAAGCGTGGCAGGTGAGAGCGCATTCTTGCGGTGTGTTGGTATTTGTATTCGTAGTCATAGATCCATTCAATGTTCGCGTGCTGCTATCACTATAACATCCAAGATGTAAGATAGAAGGTGGAGCAACGGTTGGAGGAATTGGGACAGATTCAATTATTGTTTCTGGACCAGTGAGCGTGAAAGAGTATGATAGAGCAGGCTCGTTATCAAGCGTCAAAATGTAGGTACCGGGATATATAACGAAGCTGCCGTTTGTAGCTACACGTGCGAGAGAGCCAAGCGTCAAAGAGAAAGTGAGAGTGTCAGAGCCGTTGGTTTTAACATTGAATAAACGATCGTAGGAAACAGGTGTCTTAATGGAATAAGGACCTGGACCTGCGTTGATTGTAGATATAAAGAGAAGTCCCACGTAATCAGAAACCATACTCCCAATGTTAGTCACCTTTGCCGTGGCGGTCGAAAAGGTGGTCGTCTCGATGATAGATGACGCTCCACTCAGAAGAGTTGAGATTTCGTAGGTGGGTGAAGGTACAGCGCTCCAGGCAAATGTGAAGTTGGTGTAGTGTAAGCCGTGGCCAAAGGGAAGAACCGGAGTTTTGTACCACATGTATGTTCTCCCTGGATTTGCAGAGGTAGAACGAAGACCAGGGTTGAAAATGCTGACTTTATCGGTATAGTTGGCTGGATATTGCGTGATGGGAAGTCTCCCGGCAACAGTTCGGGTACCGTCGAGAATATCACGCAAGGCGTTGCCTCCCGCCTGCCCAGGATACCCAGCCCATAACAGAGAATTGACCTTGGAATTGCCCAAGAGAGCCGTGCCGTCCAGTTGACCGCTACCAAATTGCACCACGATAAGTTTCTTGCCCAAACCTGCTAGTTCATTAATGAGAGTGAGCTGATTGTCTGGCCAGGTGATCGATGTTCTGTCTCGCCCTTCGGCCTCAACGGAAGTGTCAATTCCTCCACAATAAATAACATAATCTGCATTACCTGCGGCAGTCAGGGTCGCAGCAAAATCAGAAGTATCGTTACTATTAATTGTTGTCCCTCTATGGTAGGTCACATTCTTCCATAATGCTTTGAATGCAGTTAACGGACTGGTCAGGAAAGGAACGTTACCATAATAGTTTCCTTGCATCTGAGACGTTGCGTTGGCCCATGGACCGACAATGATAACATTCGATGGAGACTTGGGAAGAGGCAGCGTCCCGTCGTTCTTGAGCAATGCCATGCCTTCAACAGCAGCCTCATACGCTAGGCGCTGGGCCTCAGCAGTATTCACGTCTCGCCAACCTATGGAAGAATAAGGAGACGTATCGCCAAAGTATCCAACATTTACTAATGAGTTATAAAGGCGTGAGAGTGATTGATTGATGACTGCATCGGTTGTGATCCCAGCAGACACAGCATCAGTTAGCGAGTTGTAAATCGTTCCTGATTCACAAGCAAGATCTGTGCCAGCATTGAGAGCTACTGCAGCAGCATTGACTGAGCCGTTAACATAGTGATGATCGTTGTAGATATTTGTAACAGCAGCACAGTCGGAAGTAACCCACTGACAAGGCTTCTTCCAACCCCAATGGTCTCGAAGCATTGTATGAAGAAGATATCTATTAGCGCAGGAGGGTATCCCATTAACCGCATTGTATGAGCACATAACAGCCCCGACCTTGGCATCTCTGGCACAACTCTTGAAAGGGACCATGTAGTATTCCGAGAGTTCTTGTGGTGTAGGATCGTAGTCGTAGCTGTTACGCCCAGTTTCGACATCGTAGACCGCATAGTGCTTGCAAGTAGCAATCACCTGTTTCTCGGCAGGATCAAGACCGCCCTCTAATCCAAGGATAAGGCTCAAAATATACCGCGAAATACGGTGTGGATCCTCGCCAGGAGTTTCGAGTCCTCGGCCCCAACGTGGGTCTTTGAAGCCGTTAATATTGGGAGTCCAGAAGTCATAACCAGCCTTGCCAACATTGGCAAAAGCGCGTCCCTCTCTTCCGACGATCTTCGCAATTGAGTTCATCAAAGCGTCATCAAATGCTGCAGCGGTAAGAATCGGCATTGGGAAACTTGTAGCGTAGCTAAAATTCCCATCGCTCGTAAAGGCAACGGCAGGACTACCAGCAACTCTATGAAGTGGTCCATTCCACCAATTGTAGGCAGGCAAACCGAGTCTTAAGACACCAGGAGCCTCGTTCTCCATATTGGCAGTCTTCTCCGCAAGCGTCATAGCATTTATGAGCCCAGAAACACGATCTGTAATGCTCAATGACGCATCACAAATAGGTAGCGAACACAGAGGATCTCTGGTGCAGTCAGGATGACCAATGCTAGCACTCGTGCTAGGATCGGTTGATGGGTTGGAAATTTTATAGATATCAATGCTGGAAAAATCAATAAAATCCAGTTAAGTTATGAACATAAGACATACAACCAAGTTCCTCCACATACCTGGGTCGGATTACCCGGGCATGTAGCAGTGCAAGCTGTGGTAGCCACTTGAGTTGCATTATTAGTCGTCACCCGCCATGCCTAATGAGTTGGTTATAATTCTGAGACTTAGATGAGAATGAGGATGAGAATAAAAATGAGGATAAGAATGAAGATAAGAATAAGAATGAGGATGAGAATGAGGATAAAGATGAGAATAAATTTGAGAGCGATTTCTGAGTCAGTATATATTTGTATGTGAGTCTTGGTGGTGGTATATTGAAGATCTTGAGAGCGGAAAGGATGGGGGTTTATAGGAAGAGGATTTGTGGGAGATGAGAGGTGAGAAGTGAGATCTTGGGGATTGATGATTGAGGCAGGGGGTAGTAAGGGGGTGAATTGGTAACTAGATAGAAAGGGAGAGGATGGTTTCTCATGCATCATGGATATACATGATTTATCAACACCCCCACGTATTCTATCCACATAGGTAATCTAATTATATTCTACCCGGCTAGATACTTGAGTAAAGGTACGAGTATATAGGTGTATAAATATTCCCAGCTTCATTGATTCTGAGAAAATGAAAATTATCATGCAACGTTTCACAACCTTTTAAGATAATATTGCTGCTTTATTTTGGGTTCGCAGTTGAGTGTGATTCAGAGATTACTGGGAGGAGATGACTCGAGGGAGAAAGGATCATGGGGTATGAGAGAGGGGGAGGGGAGGAAATGTGTGGGTATTTATCTGGTGTCTTGATTCTTGATGAGAATTGGTAATTGACAGTAGGGGAAGTGGAGTTCAGCGACAATGCATACGATGAATTAATAACCATTAAAGTTTGATATGAGGAATAAGATGACGGTAACAATTCTCTTTTCCTCCACTCTATTTCCCAATTCTTTTCCTCCTCTAAACATTTGAAACGGAAATCGAGGCAAGATTATAATTCTGGAAATAATAGAAGCGAATAAGACACGTAGGGTGATTGTAACACACAGCTCCTTATTACTTTGATTTTCAAACTTATTCTAAATCTGGGGTTGTGTGGGAGTAGGTAGAGGGGTTTATATAGAGTTTGAGGAGAAGTTTGAGGGGGGAAGAGGGGGTAGGGATGATAAAGGAGAGATGATTATGTGTAAATCCGGAGTGGGACTGGAGGGTAATCAAGGGAGTGGAGAGTACAAATTCAATATACCAAAAGATATGTGTGAATCAGAGTTTAAATCCTGACATAACCCAGAATTCACTAAAATATCCCGTACATAATAGGAATTATTACATCTTAGCAATGAGACTTCCAACTCTTTTGTATAAGTAGCTCACCTGGGCTCGACATCTAAAAGTCAAACACAAAAAGCAAAAAAGCTAACCGAGGTCTAGAGCATCAGTAATACTATTTTCCCTCTCCCTCTCTTTCAGCTTAAGCTGGTGTTCAAGAGTAGATTCAGAGTATACAAAGAAAAGTCAATTTAATTATTAGATGAGTGGTAAATCATCGATAATAATATTGTAGCACAATTGTAACAACAGTCATTGTTCTCTACAAAATCGACAATAAAACATCTAATAGAACTCATCTTTTGATCTTCCTGCATCTTTCATCCGCCACAGGAGATGAGAAGAGATGTCTGAATCGAAAATTCCAATCCACGAAATGAGGAAAATGTTCCTATCTTTGATCTTCTACCTTGGCAAATTTTCTCTTGTTCTTGAATTTGTGAATTTTTGCTTCCTCATTCGTTGATATTGAGAGTGCTCATTTGTAGATTTTATAGAAAAAGGGATCTACACTTACAAGTAAGATAGAATCACAGGAATTCACCCCTCGTGTCTTCTCTTCGAAAATTCCGCGGATTGAGAGGGGTGAGAGTGAATAGGTATGGTATTGAAGATGGAGCTTGTGATTCATGGTTATATTCACTCTCAAATATCTTTAATACAATTGAATGCGTTGGGGAAGGAACAAAAAAATTATCGATTTGTTGGTTTATAAACTCATTATCTTCGATCGAACGATAAGCATGCACGTAAGTATCGCTAGAGAAAACGAGTTTAAGGGTATTGTTGTACACTCTGAGCTTGATATATTTCACGGATTGACTCGCTAACAACACTTGAAGTAAATGTGTCATGCAGTCGTAGATTTTGGCTTTAACACTGCTGGTTCTATATCTCATCTCGTCTATTTTACCATATTAAGTTTGTAAACGACAGTGCTTTGTTGATTTTTGACAACATCAATTTCCAAGCTCTCATCCAAAAGTTTCTTTCCATAATTGTTTCTGTGTAATTCCTAACCTTGCCGCATGAATCTATCCGCGTCATTCCTTCCTTAATTCACTAAGCTGGAACACAAACCCAGGAGCTCGACACTTGGGGCACGCTTTACTACGAGTTGATGCGTGATGGTTTCAAGGCTAGAGTGTATAATTGAAGGTTTAAATAGTTATCTCTGGTGAGATATTGATTAGCGGCTATGAGTAAGCATTAGAGAGGGGTTAGCAATATGGTAGTGAATGAGAAGATTGTGGATGGTGGAAGTTTGGAATAATACGAGATATAGATCTATTAAGTCAATTCCAGACGCGTGTTTTCAGCACGAAAGGATTCATCATTCTAGACATATGATATCATGAGATGATGTAAATCTTAGAGTCGCACTCGCCGTATTAATTCTTAAATGATGTGAATAATTATATTCGTAAGGTCTGTGAGTTCGCGAATGGTTCTCTTTTGACGTATGATAGTGGCACCTGAGTCCGATAGTTATATACCGCATATTGCAGTCGTTTAATCAAGCAACGTCCCTAACATCTTTATCAAATTTCTAACTCAACGACGTAGCTTCCACTTGCTATTCTGGGAATGGATTGGTCTTGAGAAATTAGAGGCGAATAGAATTGTATGGCATTTAGGTAATATTACCACGACATACATGATGATTGGTATAAGCAAATGATGATGCTGGTTCATCTTGAGAAAAGCGAGTCGGTGAAGGGATCGTTGGAGGTGTAGAATTGCTGATATCCAGAGTTCAGATTATTCAGATTTGTTATAATTACATCTTCCATATTTCTCCCTAATGTCGGTTTGTAAGATTTCATACTATGAAAATTGGAGATCTTGCTCGCGTACTGTATCGAAACTCGCTTAAATAATGAAGATGATGCTTACAGTTTCAGCGATCATATTGATACAAAGAGATTGTTTATACATTTGCTTTTAAAGTGAGGTTCTCACACGCTAAAGCGTGGAGATGAAATTGTAAATTGCAATACAAGAAGTGAAGGTGGCGTCAACGATCTATTTACAGTCTTGAAGATCACCAGGAGAGTCAAACTGTATGTGGGAGTAGAAAAGAGAGATTGATAAGCGACAAAGCTATTCCGAGCCATAAAAAAGTTTAATCTTCTCCTTGAATCTGAGAGCCAACACCAGCACCAGCGCAAGTCCCGCTATACATAGCGCCTACAACATTCTTTAACATTGACGCACAATCTCCAGTTGCAAACACCCCTCTTACACTTGTCTCGTTGAAAGGCGCCGTGACCTTAAGATCTCCTTGCTCGGTTAATTCGATCCCGAGTTGATGAGCAAGATCGTTGGTCTGCTCGGTTACTGGTTTGTGAAGCAGGAATGCGTGTGTATGATCTCCCAGTCCCGCTCCATCATTTTCATCAAAAGAAACAGTGAGGCCAGACGATGGATTATCACTTGGGATGAATTTCTGAATCAAGTAATTGCAAATTTCGATTTTACTGCGACACTTGGAATTGACATCAGGATTTGACGTAAATTTTGCAGCTTCTATTTCTTCAGCTAAGGCGTCGTTTCCGTGCGTATAGATTGTGACGTTTTCAGACAAGCGAAGTGCCTGGCGAGCTAGGTGAAGAGCTATATGGGGTGACGCACAGTCACCAATGGCAATTACACCAGCTGACTTTGCAGGAGAGGATTCATAGCCGTGGCAATAGAGACAGTGGAAGCTGTAGTCATATTAGTCATGGAAAGAATAATGGATTGTAGTAAAGCTCGGACGAAAACATCCAATCAGGGAAGAGTTATCAAAGTGCACTTACATGCTTTTAGCCCAGCATTCTTCATAACCTTCAATATCTACCATGATATCTTTCACACCAGTAGCAAGAACGAGTTTTCTTCCCCACCAATCTTTTCCAGTATCATCGATTGCCTTGAAAATACCACTCCCCTCCCCCTCTCCCTCTCCATCCTTGGATACCTTCTCAATAGTTTGAATGCCCACATCTTCAAAACATATGGTCTTGTACCTGGCCAGAATATCCTCTCGAGAAGCAGCACGAAATTCCGAAGGATCTCGATGATCCCATGTAGAGACTGTGTGCATGTGCTTAGACTTTTCGTTCCGGAATTTATTGCTGGAAAATACGATAGCGGTATGACGAAGGCGCGCAAGAGCGGCGGCGCAAGATATTCCGGCTGGACCGGCTCCAATGATCAGGACGTCTAAAAGTGACTTTGGAGGCATAGTAAGGTGAGTCGAAGTCACGGATTGTAATGTGTCTTTCAATTGTTTAGAATGATTCACTTAAATATTCGTTGATTGTTTTTAATGAAATTAGATCACGGTATGAGGTGGCTGTGCAATTGGTCCTTATATTCAGAGCTGGGAACATTTCGGACACAAAAGATTCGACTGAAATGAAACACTTTGATGGTTGAGATTGGTTACTTTGTCGGTGGTCTATTCGGATAGTTTATGCAGTGTTATCGGGGACTTTTCGGGAACTTTTCGGGTACCAATAATTCATTTACTCCCCAGATCATCTTGCTCCTTCCAAATGTTGAGAAATGAGCTCGGAATTGATCACGAGTGATTAAATAAAACATTCTACTGACTGATTATCTTGATAACATCCATTAGTAAATAAGTTTCATCGCAAAATTTAAGAACGCTGCTTATTAAAGTTTTGTGACAGGCTCAAGTCGGGGCTTCGAACCATGCAGTTATGTGATTACTCTGTAATCTGAGAGGTTGAAGGAGATCCGAAGTATCCATTGGTATGAACACATAGCCACTCAGTAACTGATGTAACATGTTCAGCATTGGTTTGAGGAAGTTTTCTTCTTCACTTGGAGCTCACTTAATGAAGGATGTGTGTGTTATGGGAGATGAGAAAGACCTATTATAACGGCTGCATGTTCGCATCGTTTGATTCGATGTTTAGGTGAGACATTAAGGTGACTCCGGTGGTCATCAGGACTGCTGCGGAGATCTTTATACTTTCGGGGCATTTGGTAATTGACATTACGATTTTGCCTGCTGTCGCTGTGATAGGAACAACCGCAAAGGCTGATAGAGATTGGAGAGCTGAACAGAGGTGGTACTGATTTTTGCAGACTATGAACTAGCCTTAGAAATCAGACGGGATCTAGATATTGACACAAGCTGAAAGGACTTAAATTAAGAGTAACCGAGTCATACATATGTATTTCGCACGTCGAATCTAGGTTACCAGATTTGCAATGATAATATCAATCACCAAATTGTTTCCCGCATTCCCAAGTCCCTACCTATTCTGCACATTATCTATAAAATATATCATCTGCTTCGTAATATAACACATCTGTATAAATCAAGTATGAATCTGTTATAAATCTAAGCTTGGGTCAATAAAAAATAGGCTTTAGATATGCCTGCAGATCATTTATTTGAACTTTCCAATAATCTGCCTTGCAAGCAGTGATCAGCAGATTATCTACAAGGCCAATACTCTGCTTTGCAGGTACCTGTTGCGCAATCTATTTAAGACATAAAATTCATTTTCTTATCATAGATATCAACCGCACCGAAATCGTCTTGTTTCCCTCTCACTCTCTTCAATACTGATGATAATCTTTGAAACTCAACGGTACACACTTTTTAGCAATAACAATAATGGAAAATTCAATTATTTCCCACTTCTCTTCATTCAATCGTTCGTGCATCTTTAAAAAACTCTCTAGCATTAAATATGGAAGACTATACATCACAATGAAAGATCAAAATGAGACGAAATCAAGACTTTTCGGTAACGCATCGTCGGAGTCCATCGATTCAAGCGAGCCCAAATGCTCAGTTATCATTAATAGTGCCAACGTTTGGACTCGAATGTCTATCAATGTTGATTTGGTGAGCCTCATTGAACATGATTGAATTGTTGTCGCAGATACTAATCAGATTCTCAAGGGGTTTTCTGAGGCGTTCATGGCAGGAGAATTGGAGTGTGATGATCTTGTTGCTCTTGTTTCCGTATGTGGGCTTCTGATTTCAAACCCATCAAGCTTAAATTATCTGGGCTCACAATAGAAAACCACAGGTATACATACAAAATTACGCACTTTTTGGAACTGGCAATATCCTTCTACAGATAATTCCCCGTATTCAAAAAATCTTTTTCAGACCCTCAAATGATAGTCAACGCGCTCTCCAGAACGCATCATCCCACTACGATACCTCGAACGCACTTTTCTCTTCTTTTCTATCAGCAGACATGAGTTACTCATGTCCAATATGGGACACCACTGGTAAAGAAGAAACTCTCGAGTAAGCACAGAGGCGAAAAGTGCATAACATTATTGATAAAGCGGATATCAAGCCAGAACATCACATCCTCGAAATTGGAGGCGGATGGGCTTATCTAGCTATCGAAGCTGTGAAGAGAACTGGATGTAGATTCACGGTGACAACTCTGTCAATTGAGCAAAAAGCTCTGGGCGAGAAAAGGGTAGAAGAGGCGGGATTAAAAGATCGAATTGAGATATTGCTTTGCGATTATAGGCAGACTCCCAAGCCTAGTCCTGCAGGGTTTGATAGAATAATCAGTGTCGAAATGGTGGAACATGTTGGGGAGGAGTACATGGAGGCCTATTTTAGGACGATTAGCGAATTGTTGAACAAAGAAAATGGAATCGTGGTAATACAAAGTACAACCGAAACGAATCAGGCCAGTTCACACACCCTTCGACTCGTCCAATCCAAGCCACTTGAGTTGGCTATGGTGGTGAAAATCTTTAAAAGTCCAATTTTCGTTCTTCGAAATCAGTACGTTGATTGAATATCCAACAGGGCTTCCACCAAACTCGATCCAAGATCGACACTTTCATAGAGCGTTACATTTTCCCAGGAGGATATCTCCCCACCGTAAGAGAGATTATTGAACGTCTTGAAGCGGGATCTACTGGTTCTCTAGAGCTTGAAAGTGTGCAAAGTATAGGTCCTCATTATGTGCGAACATTGCGTTTATGGAGGGAAAACTTTGTCCAGAACTGGGATGAGACTAAACATTTGTACATGAAAGAAAGAGGAGACATGACGCTGTTAGATCTTCAAACTTTTCAAAGAAGATGGATTGTAAGTGTTAAATATTCGTGGCAAGAAGTCAACTGTTATTAATGTTTGTTCTAGGGCTACTTCAGCTATTGCGAAGCAGGCTTCCGAGCAGGTATTTTAGGGAACCATGTAATTACTGCGAAGAGACCACAAATTCTGTCTCCAAGTGGAATTGTTCCACTTTAATGGGCATGAGACACTGACTGGCGGACGTGAGAATCCTGCGAGCGATTGTACAACACCGGGTTATAATCAATGTGTGGAGTGGAGTTTTCGATAACCTGAATTGTGTTATAATAGGTGCTAATGAGTTTTCGCATGGACTATTATAATTAACAAACTCCATGGCATATGTGACCGGTGATGTTTGCAAATTGTGATCGAGGGCAGGCGGCTATGTTGTTTCCCTTTGATGCTGAGGGAGACTTCAGCTGCTTGTGGACCGTTCATTGTTGATGACAACCAAGATACACCCCTCCCTCCCAACAAAAACAATTTGAGATGATGAAATGAGATAAACATGTCGCTAGATTGTCTGGGACTTTGTTCAATTCTGAAGTGGTAAGATTTTGAAGGGAATTTGAACTTGATGTCTGGGTCAATTCAGATAGAAAAGTGTTTCACAACGTCTTCCTCCCAGCGTAGATTAAGCCCGTCTTATCATCTACAACCCTTCGGTGGCTAAGGGCAAACGTCATAAAAATTCCGAAGGGTCCCTAGAGAAGCACTTGCTTATACTGTCACTTGGTCACTTAACTCAACCGGTTTCAGCTCCAAACCTGTCCTATGCGACACCTGATGCATAGGCATAAATCACGGAATTCCCGGAATATAGACGTGTTTTTGAGGAAAAAGTGGAAATGCGACCATAAGCATCAGACGTATTAACATTGATGCAATGTTAAATTGAGACAATTTTCACCAGAAAGAATTACTCGCTGCTCTTACATGACAATTTCAGCAAAAACGACAGACAACTCCCCTTTACATCTCCGCCAAATTATACCCATTACCCTTTTCCATTGCACTCTTCCAAGCATCTCTCTCTTGTATCCTCTTTCTCCACTGGAAAATCTTGGGGTACTTCTCAAAGTCCACATACTTCTTTGCAGCCAAGAAATCCATGGGCCAACTCAGCATTACATCAGACCTTCCCAAATTCTTTCCATTGAACCAGTCATCTGTCAGTTCCTTCTCCAGATATTGAAATTGAGTTGCATATTCCGGCCCGGTGAAACTTTTATGTACGTTCGACTTGACACCACCGAGTAATATTGATAGTGGCCACGGAGATCTTCCTGCCACGATATCAAATATCAACTCAATCATTCCGATAGTCCCAATAGTCGACCCAGCGAAGGACGACAAACTCTCATCGCGAACCTTATCCTGTGCGGCAAATCTACCATCTTCATCGTACGTATCAATCAGGTATCCAAGGATTGCACTACTTTCTGCGATGGGCACATTGTCGGGTGTAACAAGAACCGGGGCCTTTCCCATGAAATGAACATTTTTGAGCTCGGGTGGTGCACGACCTTCCACGCGTGTATGGCATACGAGGTTGTATTCAATTCCCAATTCTTCGAGAAACCAGAGGATTCGTTGGGATTGGGAGTCCTACATGAAGGGATGGCGTCAGCATGTGTGGGTGCATTTGGTGGGGGGACGTTGGTTTATAGGTTGGGACCGATGGAATGATTGCCCGGCCCACTTACATTGAGGTGGTGGAAGGTTGGGAGTCCAGGTTTGTTTGGAGACGCCATGATTAACGTCGTGTAAGGTTTTCATGTAGTACTAGTGAGAAGACGATAGTCGTTAGATGCCAGATGAGGTGCCACGATTTATACATGTCGTCGTCTCCCCGGACTCATGTTTCCATCCGGCCCGTTCGGAATTGCGCGTTCTGGGGTTCAAGTTGAACTTGGAACCTTATTAGTGAGGCATCAATTCTTTTCTTTTGTGTGAACTTCGTGCCATCATACGACTCAGCGCAACCAATCTTATCTTATACTCGCCGCCATGTATACAGCTGATCAGGTGCCAGCATCGATAACAATCGATAAAACTTTGATTTAAACTTCTTCCAATTGATGATTGGTCTTGTGAAATCGAGTGGTGGGTAGTAGTCTACACAAAGCTGGGCAGAAGCATCTCCGACATGGATAACTGCATATGCAGTGAACATGCAGTGACAAGATTGTTATCGCCCACACCCAAAGGTCTCTTGTCAATTCACCATAATTCCTTCAGCTAGTAGTGAGGATTTATAATTGAATCATATCTTCGATTTCTTGATCATTTGCTATCCCTCCTTTTCTCTTCACACCAAGTCGTGAACTGTGTTCCTCTCATGATTACCATGACTACCGTCAAACCAAAACCGATAGTTCTGCACATTGGTGACCCAGTCAAATGGAACCTTGATTTATATGAACAGTTTTCTAAGGATTTTACAATTATACGACCTTCTACAGAAGAGCGTCAACGTGATGAATTCATGAAAGGCTTGAAAGAAAACAGATGGGGCAACTTTTCCGCCATATTTAGACCGTTCTGGAATACTGGTGGTGAAATGGGTAGATGGGATTCGGAGCTCATCCCCTTAGTACCTGAATCATGCCGAATATTCGCATCTGCCGGGGCTGGTTTTGATTGGGCCGATGTAGACATTTTGGCCGACCGAGGTATGGATTCTTGTGTGATAAATGTTCAGCCTGTGTTACTAACCCATGATCCGCATAGGTATTGTCTATTGCAACAGGTTTGTGTGACTTTTATATTTTTCGCATATGTAATTAATAAATTTGTGCAGCGCCACAGCTACTACCGAATCTGTAGCAGATTTCGCTATTTTCTTGATGTTAGCTACATTCAGAAACCTTACTTGGTGGGTTTACAATCTTACCTGGATCACACATTACAAGTGCTAACACACATAAGGTGCACCCAAGCTGCTCGTTCTGATGCAGCTTCGTTCCAAGATTGCCACACCAATGCCGCAGCTATGTCTCACAATCCTCGTGGCCACACGCTTGGTATTGTTGGCTTGGGAAACATTGGCTATAACATCGCCCGGAAAGCTTCTCTGGCATTCGGAATGAAAATCCTGTACTACGACATCGTCCGAAAGACTCCATCCCAGGAAGCTGCCATTGAAGCACAATTCTTTACTGATTTGGATGGCATGCTAGCCCTTAGTGATTGCGTAGTTCTTGCTACACCTGCTTCTCCAGATGGAAGAAAATTTCTTGATCGACAGAGGTTGAGCAAATTTAAGGAAAAAAGTAGATTTGTGAACATTGCAAGAGGTGTCTTAGTGGACGAGCAAGCATTGGCCGAAGCTGTTGAGTCAGGAAAATTGGTGGGCGTAGGACTGGATGTTCATGAGCATGAGCCCAGGGTAAACGACAGGCTAAAGGCTTCCAGGAATGTCACACTTACCAGCCATAATGCTGGTGGGACACTTGAAACGTATGCCTTTTTACATAAATTGTTTCACAGATTGCTGACACTTCTACAGCCACATTGGATTTGAGGAGTTGGCAATGAAAAACATCGATGCAGTTTTGAAAGGGAAGGAGCCATTGACACCGGTGAACAAGCATTTGATTGGGAAGGCGAAGCATACTTTGTGAGGATGTATCTCGCCAAGTAGGTACTATGGCAAGTGGGCATTGGGAAAAATATTAGGAGATACAACTACTCCGCATGTTACTCCAGAGACTTTTGAACGAAACCAGTATCTGGAAGATTTCAAATGGTAGTCGAATCTGGAAGAATGTGGTGAAATTTGATCGCAGTTCAGTAAATGAAGGAAGGTGCATGGGGAAATTTCGAGGCATGGATTAGTTTCCAATGTTTCACATCAAGTAGCACTACGAGACTCATTCTCAAGATGAAAATTATTTGTATGGATCAAATTATGCACATCTCAAAGCAATTTTAATGATTCAATGAAATATCGATAATCAGCTATAGAATTGTCCTATTTCATGATAGCTTCAGCGAAAAGAATCAAGTTACTTGACCTTGGAAGTTCATCTGCCACGCCAAATTTGAGATACATATCTTACTCCGAACCCCTGTTGCAACCAGAAACAAATCCTACACTGGCGGGTGAACTGATTGAAGGAATGTTGCTAAAATTGAACTCTGCGATATATTTTGGATCGTTGATGGAAGCACCTAAAAGGCACAAAGATTCGCCACCAATACGATAATGAAATAATTGGTTACGATATTAATCAATTGGGCGTTGGATACATTATGAACATTACATCTGTCAATCGATATACCCAGTACCAACCCACTGGTGCCCTAGCAATTCTAGTATCTGAAAGACATGTGCGGGCCTACCCAAATTAGTCAAAATCAGATGCATGTTGCTAGGGAATAATAACCATCCTTCAGGATTAAGTCCACCATCTCTTCACGCGCTGGCCAGGAACCCAGGTACGGGGTGCGCTGTCCTGGTCTACCTTCGTTGAAATGTTCAAGATTCGTCCGTGATTCCGTCTGACACCACCATGTGCATCCGAACATTTCCAAACATCATGAGGCTTTTCTGGCAGTAATCCATATCTGTTTTCTCGATGATGACTATCCCTTGGCGATTTTCTAACAGAGCCCGGATTTTTTTGGGATGGGCAGCGGGTGACAGTCCAGGTGCAAGTGCTAGTACCGTAACTACCTGGACGTTCGTACTCTAGCGAATCTTTGTGGCGACTATAATTACCACTCCAGACTGGAACATGAGCTTTCCCGACATCAGTATTCGACAGGTTGGTTGGTATAGTGCATGGTGTATTTAGCTGGTTGACATATCGCTCGTCGACAAATTTCATCCATCGAATAGACTTTCCCCACTCGTATCTATCATCTGCAAAGCAATCGGATGGATAACGAACAGTTGGAGGTTCGAAGTAAGCGCCTAGTTGAAGTTGCTGGAGATTTGGTAGACCGAAAACCACTTTACCTAAGATACTATACATCATGCCGTAGTCATACCCCATCTCTTTTTCCTTTTCGGCACTTCTATTGTCGGTGTCAAAGGCGAGAGAGCGCTGATGCAAGGTGAGCTTGCGTAGTTTGGGACAGATCTCTGCTATTATGAGTGTATACATGGGCAGAATTGCTCCAAACCCGAGCGCCGGGCTTCTTTCGCCACGCGTCTTGGGAGTAAACGTAAATCCTCCATCAAATTTAATGTCTCTCAGTAGTGAAGAGTTCTTGCGTCCAATGTACGCCATAAAACGAACAAATGGATCTTCTGCAATGAACGCTGGCTGAAAGCATTCTAAATCGAAAAGTTTATCAATAGCGATACTAATAGTGGCCTTACTGGGTAACTCCTCAAACAGCGGAAAACCAGGGACATCCCATGGGGTCTTCAGCTGGTGCATCCTATGACAGTCTGATACATTAAACTCATATTTGTTCTCTCCGTAAAGAATTACAGTGCACTCTTGCTCCATTTGTTTGCAAACTCGCGTGATACTGACAGAACGACCAAACGGGTGTATTTGAAATTCGGTCTTCTTTATGATTTGAGGACCAAATCCGTCTCGATGATGTACAGTACATTTAATCTGCCGACCAGGCTCCGCGAAATCGTCAATCGTGAAATTTTTGACTCCACTTTGAATGAGTTTGAGTTCCTCGCGGGTAGGGTTTGTAGTCCATGCGATTTCTTGAACAATGGTGTTACCATCGACATACGTCTCTGGAATAGGCGCCTGGGCCCATCCGTAACTATATTTTCGTTGAAACCTACAATGCTTGTGACCTTCGGCTTGACTCCCTGTTGCAAATAGGTACTCCCGTTTGCGAACCCTTGGGACGATAGCAACCGGTCTCAAAAGGATGAGTCGCCAGATATCATCGCGAATCTCTATCTTTTTATTAGTTCCTGGAGTCAAGATGAGAATATTGATTGCTTACCTCTGGGAAGTTTGTCGAGGAGAGCACAAACAGGCTTTGAGTTTTTGATACTGGTTTTGAGCATCATAACATCTGTTGTCGAAGCCTTTGAAGTTGTATCAACATCCTGTATCCGTTCTTTTCTCGCCATTATGAGTGCGACAATTGCTAGACAGGCAATCTAAACGATGAAAATGTTTTTGTAATTTTTGGGTTTTAGGCAAGTAGATTTTGATGTAGCTGGATAAGCTAGATGTAGTTGAAAGGGAGCAGAATAGATAGGATAAGTCTGTTTATGACTATTGAAGGCGAACCAAATATAGGCATGTATTATTGGAGTCTTTTAGAACTATATATTAACAACATAAAGAGTGAGTTAGCTGTACTGGCGTACTAGAGTATCACGCTAGTTTAAGCGTAGTAGTGAATATGTGGCTATCACCTGTTTCAAACGATGATACAACCGAGGTCTTGACTGATACTGTAGGGTGGCATAGAACTAGCGCTTTATACGAAATATTGTATGGGCAATTCATAGATCCGCCCAGGACTCTCAGTATTTACTAGTCTAATATGCAAACTGATATCAATTCTTCAATCTTTTTGACCTCCAACTTGAAAATTGAACATTTTTCAGTGGTGAACTGCATTCCGAACTATTGAAGATTTTGAAAACTACTGTAATAGATTACTTTGATTGAAATGTTTTGAGAAAAGGCAATACATCCACATTCAGTGATTGAATAAAAATAGAGCCAAGTACTATTTCGTGAAATATAGAAGATGTGGGTGAATTGAAAGATTGATTGATCATCTACTATACGAAAGTAGGAAAAAGCTGAATTATGAGAAGATTAGTTATAACCTCGCTAGCAATGCGCATTTCATACCGTCGTGAGGTGGTGCCCAATAAATACTGAGTCCTTTAGCATCCTCATCCCTTCATTCAGAGACATTTTCCAGTACTACGAATACGCGAGGCGATTTATGCTACCTCGAAATCATCAACTTCGTGGTTTTCCCCCATTCTCCTTTCTCTCTTCGCATTCTGATTCTGCCAGTGTGCGGCTCTGGGCACGTTGTTCGACGAATCCTATCCACTTCAAAGCCATCCCCCACTCGTCCTCTGGGTGCACCAATTTTATGATATCACTACCAGGAGTACCCGGATCATATCCACACCCGGCTGGTACGAATTCATATCGGCCCAATTGTAGTCTCTGAAGATATGGAAGCGCATGAACAAGTTTCTCGACAGACTCATTTATTTGCTGGCTCCTGTCCATAACTCGCGGATCCAGCCGCTTTAATTGAGGATAGCCCCGGTCGTCGTCATGCAAAATTAGGGTATGAATGTTTTCACAAACTTCTTTGAAAATGGTAGTATAAATTGGAAGAAGGTCATGAAGTCCGACTGGAATAGACTTTGTGTACTGCCATTTACCGATGATCCAGTTGAATTTGCCCTGAATGACAATTTTGGTAAGCTTCGAAGCATTTTCCCGGCCAATTTCCATCAAAAATCTAGTGAATGGGTCCTGGTAAATGAACTTTGACTTCTGTTCGTTTTTTTCTAGGTCTTTATAAGCGAATTTAAGTTTGTCTTGATCCTGTTGGAAGATCAAATCAATAGAGTGAGAAATCTGTTCTGCGGTTGGCATAGTTCCATCCTTACGTTGATGACCAGGAATCTCATCAAAATCATGCGAAATTTGGTCCATGGTGACAACACTTTGAGGTCCGGTAAAGCTTGGAGAGCCGCGTGTGTCAAAAAGAAAGGAGTTCTCCCCATAAAGTACGGCAACTCCCAATTTGCTAAGATGTTTGCAAGAACGCAGGACCGCAACCCCTGATATTGCGGTAAGATTTACTTTCGATCGGTGAATGACTTGAACACCAAAGTCCTTACGATCATGTAAAAAGCCTTGGATTTTCTGACCTATTTTGGTTATGGTTGTAAGCTCATTATACCCAGCTTCGATGAGTTTTGCCTCCTGCTTCGTAGGAGTTGCCGCCCAGAATATTTGTATAGGTTTATTTTCCATATACTGAGGAAGACGATGCAGTTCATATTCCTCTTGACGTGCCTCGCTCCATTGGTATCTATAGTGCAGTATTGGGGGCTCGGCCCTAGCACCTTTTTCTCGAATAATAACTGGCATTATGTGTGTCTGGGGAACCAGCATTTCTCTCAAGATCTTCTCTAAAACGTCTAGAACAGTCAGATAACTCTTGGGAACAGAAATAAAAGCATTGGACTTACTTGTGGGAAGATCTAAAAGTCCTATTCTTTTTTTAATTGGGGAATACTTTTGAAATGAAGACTTGTTTCTCTTCCAATGCCCACTTGAGTGGGCGAAAAGATTGTCATAAACCTTAGCCCTCATCATAGAGTTATAGGCATTCATTGCAAGGCGACTTATTGATGGTTTTCTGAATTGTCTTTTAGTTGAAGCACTCTGGTTTGGAAATTATGAGATAATCCAAGATATTAGATTGTTTTTAAGCTCTTATGTTTTAACAAAATTAAAATTTCAATGTAGAAGCCGTACTTACAGCTGCGGTCCACGAGGCCGTAGTATCATGATAATGTGAGTTAGCAAGCGAAAGATCTTGCAACCTATGCTCATTGCTTGCGTCACACTACATGGAAACTTTAGATCTCGAATCTATAGCCACTCGCGACTTAAATATGACAAACATAGTGAGAGGCGATTTTCAAAGAGATGGTTATATGAGTTCTGCAAATAGATTCTTACTTGATTGTCTTCATCTGTTGGAAATAAAATGTATCAAGAACTTTAGAAGCCTCCAATTAAATGGACTAATCAATATAATTAGAATTAAAACAATTCCACTGTTCGGTGAGCACAAGAAGTCGCAGAAGTGTGTCCAAATGTACCTGTTCACGTGATGCTCCCCTGAGATTCACCTAGACACAGACAACGTCAAATTCAATTAGATCCAAGCATCCTCTACTTCCTAAGTTTCAACTCCAAAGAAAAGCGAATTGATTTTTCGTTTTGAAATTTCCTGTGAAAGAGTGAAAAATAAATTTAACCTTTCGAAAATTACAACGCATAATGTTAAATCCAAGATTACCGAAGTGGAAATTGAGTAACCCATAGTTTATCTCTTGGTTGAGCTTCATTTGGTTGACGAGAAAAACTTGGCATTCGCCGCCTACATGGAAGTAGGCGTGGTATGTTGTGGAAATTTGATTTCTTGACATATTACATCATGGCGTAGAGCTCGAGACTTGTTCACAGATCACCATGACATTCAACCATTATATCAATATCAAATAGCAGATTTGCTACATTAACCACTGAATAGAGGTAATAAATATGATTAATTTGTACATCTAGCTTTCCTCTAGATGACTTGAACGTCTGTACATAGACACTCTATAAATGGACTTTTCTGCATACAACCTCCCATCCTCATGTTCTTGTGTGCATTCCAAAACCCATTCTTTTTCCGAACACGAAAGTCCATTCAATTGCAACAACTGCGGTACTATTTCGCTATCAACTTGAGGTTTCCATTCGCGAAACTGAGAGAAATCATCGGGTTCTCCATCCGGATTGTTGGTGAAATATCGGATTTCGTAGCTCCCACTCAGCTCTTTGGGTTCCAGTTGAAGTACAATAATCCAAGGAAAAACTCTTAACTTATCACTAGAAACATCTCTTGACTCGTTCAGATTCGAGTGAAACGTGTTACAGTAAAAAAATCTTTGAAGCTCACGAGGACTTGGGGGTGAGCGCATTGAGAGACATGAGAATCGCACTCGGGTATCAATCGGATTGGCAGGTTGGTCCGACATTTTGCTTTGGATATCGAGGGGCTTTTAGTCAGACATTTGTATGCCTATGATATGGGAAACACCTTACATAGCTCTGGTGATGGCGGCGATGAGACTTATATAATTAGTAGCAATATTGATATCACATCGATAGTGATGTGACTATTTAGTCCTTACTGGGTTCCATACTAGTTATAACAAGCTTTTTGCACGTGAGTCTAAATTCGTGTGATCATCTGAAGCAAGAGTATTTATGCTAGCCAATGTTTCGGGGAAGGATTATCTCAGAGGACTGAATGGAAAAGGGATCTGATGATAAGTTTCTAGACAATGGTGGGAAATGACCAAGTATCTCCTGTTTGATTCAAGCCGTTTGTGTTTGAAACGCGTGTCCAAACATCACGCGAGTGACGACAGCCAGCTGGCATATTCAAGGAGTCATAAGAAATGGACGCAGTCATAATAAGTATTTAAATAGACTTGCAACGAAATTTGAGTGGTAAACTAACATCAAATTCCATATTGAGACGAATGAATCATCTTCAAACTATTCATCTCGATTGGCTATCAGCTTCCTATGCTGTCGTCATCTTTAGGGCCCATAAACCATGATTTCCTCCATAGTAAAGGCCTTTGCATTATTTTGAAGTTGCTCATTGATATCAATAAAAATATCAAATTTTACTATGGACGAGCTACATTACCAGAAGAAGTTAGCCTCTCTTTCATGACGTCCATTAAAGAAGTCAACAGTTACTCAAATTGATACCCCTATCCGATCCGATTAATCCATTTCTTGATATAAGTAGCTTGAGAGAAAAAAGATGACCATCTCAATTTTTAGCAAGAGCTTTGAACAATGAATCCTCTAGAGGGGCTAAAATCACAGTAGAACCACATGCAACTAACTCTATTTTCCCAAATGGAGAAGGGAATGGAGATAATGACGAGGAGGTTATCTATAGAAATTTAGCGTGATGTCATGTCATGTAAAGTATTACTTCTGATGAGGCCCAGGATACTATTGTAGGTACGATGAAAAGATGATCTATGGGGGAAACACTGACACGAGAATTAGGGCTTGTGGTTTGTGGTTTGTTTTGACTTGTCATTTTAAATATGCTGAAATACCAGCTGCAACTAATTATGATCAAGAAATAAGTATATCACCTTGCAATTGTTTGGAAAGCCATATAGCTTGGCTTTCATATGTTTTCCCCTCAATCTTGACATTATCCAATCATGGAAGAGTTGCATGACAACAAGTCATGACTTGGAACGATGTAACGAACAATTTCAGTAACGAGAAACAGTATTTGTATGGAAGATTTGAGACCTTCTAAGGCTTGTTCGGGAGTCTGACAGTGATAGTTCCATAGTATTTTAAAACGCAGTAAAATAATTCAAATTTACCCCATAAATTCTGGAGTAGCTTTCCTGAGATTCTCGACTTTCTACCTCGAACTTGCTCTTTTTTGATCATGGATTTTCCCTTGGGAAATGTCTTTGCGTCCTGCTGCGAGAACCTCACCCTCACTGATACCGGCAGATGCCAGAAGCCGCCAAGAGAACTAGCTCAATTCTTCAGCCCCGTAATTATGAATCCCTTAGAAGCTCTAAACCACCGTCCCGAATCCTTCTCACTCCTCGATACCCCATAAATAATTCAAATTACCCCAGTCTTTTGTGAAGGGAGATATCAGATGGGGAGACGACCAACACAATATTTCATTCGAGTTTTCGAGAACTCGGAGCCTGAAGGTCCAAACAAGTTTGTTCGATTTGTATCCACTGGGCATTTGAGCGGAGAGAATGAATGGAAACATTTATGCTTTGGAGAAGAGGGGTATGATAAGAGAGAGATTTTTGGTTGGAGGTGTGAGGATACTTGGGTTCATGACTGGTCGTATGAAGTGGTACTTTGGAAGAAGGAATAATGTTTGGAGCGTGCAAGAAGATCATCCCGCAAAGGTATTTGGGGGAATTTTGGCACAGCATATCGGTTTTATGCCAGGTTGAATAATTTACTTATAGGATAATGATGGTTGGTAACGTATAAAGTAGGAGGGTTATAGGGCTATTCAGGGGAAAGCGGGGGGTGCGAACCAACGCGTTTCTCATTCACGTCTGCATTCGCACTCCCACTCCCAACTACAAACGCAAGGATTCTAGAAGAACGCGCGCAACAAACACCCAAAATCTCCCAGCGTAGAGGGATCTTGTGATATGTTATATCAATCAAACCGTTGTTTTTATTAGCATGAAAAAAACACACCCAGGGAGTTCCAGTGGTCATGAGTACCGAAATGCCATCCTAAATCTGTATCAGAAGTTTGCATGCATTGGAAGCTTAGGCTGCCTGAAATGCGCAAGTGATCTGATTCTTATGTCTGGCAAGCCAGATGACAGATCATTGCGAGCTACCGCAAGACGTGTGCCAAACGATTGTGGCATGAGGATTAAGAGGATGTCAGGGACTGCAAATACACATTGGGAATCATATAATTTGCGTCTCTTGAAACGATGGAGCAATATATAAGATAATGACTCTAAATATTAGACGTAAACTACACATCAGATCTTGACTACTCTCCAAAATGCATGAGTTCATGAATACTCCAGTGCTAACTGATTGACACGGCGACAAATGGAACTCCAAGGAAATTTAGATATCCGATAGAATAGGGGAGATCACTTGCACAGACATCCTGCGGGAATTTCTATTCCTTGGCTAAAGCTACTTGCTTCATACAGAAGGGAGAGGGAACAAAGTCGATAAACGATATGCCTATTTGTGTACCAGTAAATATAATCCTGATGCGATGTCATAATAGAGTTATTTTTTCAATTTCACCAATTCTTTAAAATGTGGAGTTTTCCCCTTAAATAAGCTCAAAAATCCTTTCCCTGCCGGTAGATCAAACCCCTCTAACTTCCAAGGTTAGCGCTGACAGGGACCCCCAACTGCGCCACGGCCAGCGTGTCATTGACCACTTACAGGGCTCACCTATTACGCCATGGCCCCTTCGTTTCAATCTCCATCTAATCTTGACCACCAAACAAAAGAATCTCAAACCTTTAAAAAAACAAACGTGCAGAAAAGACGAGCCGAGAAATGCACGACGATGCACAAACTAGCTAGATATCTTGAATACGAGAAAAGATGGGGGGTACTGTCCTCTCTTTTGTATCTTCATTTCTTCTTGATTGATTTGTGTTGCTTGATTCAATATTCTTGGTAGGTTATTCACTCGGTCGGTCAACCTCATTGCTTTCCTGCCCTTTTTTGTTATTATAACACTTGTTTTGGTTTGCATATGCATATGAACTGGTCAATTTGACTCTCATTGTGTTGATCCAGTTTCGAAATATATATTTCGTTCTATATTTCATTCTAGTCTGTTACATTTCTAGCAGTCGTACCACACCACAGCATTCACGACGTTGATAAATTCTTCCGGGCCTCGGCCAGCAAATCCTTTAGAATGAAGATATTCTCTCTGCCGCCTATTCCTTTGGTCTTGTTATTTACGAACATTAATAAAGTCCTCGCACAGAAAGATAATGGAGAAGATTGTTCATGTTTTCGGACGGATAGTGCGTCATCTGGATATTTCACATACCATCGATTCCATGATTTTCGAACAGTAGCAGCAGCTTCGCAGACTGTGCCCAATTTAATTTCGAATGAAAGCGATACATCGAATGCACTGGCAACATCAGAATTCTTCTCGGGGCAGGCTTGGAATAATGATTGGTCGACGCAGAATTGGAATAATAGTGATTCAATGGAGAGTGGAAGTGGTGTGCTGATGGTTAATTCGGCAAATAATGTCTACATTGGTATGTTTCAAACTACCCTTCTCTCCTTCTGCCACTCGAGGTATTAACACGCCATTCGCAGAAACCTCTACCGATAATGATACCTCCTACGATACCTATCTTACCCTCCGTACAGCGCGTCTCGAGGGCTTCCAATCCGTTGCCGAATTCGACTCCAACGAAAAGAATTTCCAATATATGTCCGCCCGATTCCTAGCTCGAGTGGTTGGTTCCGAAGGAGCATGCGCGGGAATGTTCACTTATCTCGAGTCTGACCCTATCCAAGAAGCCGATATTGAGATCTTAACATCTGGTCCCCGTAACGTGGTCCAATACACAAACCAACCTTCCTTAAATAAAGAAGGTGATGCCGAACCTAGAGCTACAAGCAATGCTTCAACTTCAGACGGTGCTATGGATTGGAGTGTTTGGAATGTATATCGAATGGATTGGATGCCCAAACAAACATCATGGTATGTTAATGGAGAGAGTGTGGCGAATATTACATACCAGGTTCCGAAGGATCCAAGTGGTTTGATATTGAATATGTGGAGTGATGGAGGGGAATGGACGGGAAATATGAGTTTGTATGATGAGGCGTACCTGCAAGTTCAGTGGATTGAATTGGCTTTTAATACTAGCGGGGATTTTGCGGGCAGCAAGAGGGATCTGGAGAAGAGGAAAAACAAAGGCTGTAAGGTTGTTTGTGGAATTGATGAAGGAGTTAATGTTACGGGTAGCCCGGCGTTGTTGATCAACAATACTAATGCGGCGACATTGGGATGGAAGGAGGGGACAGGGTGTATGGGGTGGGTTCCCGTGTTTGTAGTTGGGTTGGCTGCTTTTGGGTTCTTGTGATCTTTTTCATTGATGTTACGATATATAGACGGATATCAGAAGGGTTGAGCCTCGAGCGGGAGCGATCTCCGTATTTCAATAGGTTATGATGTAATGAATGTGAGAAATAATAATTGTCTATCACATTACCCTAGCTACCTAGGTAGCATGATATCTAACCTGGCTAGAGATCACATCTATTACTTGCTGTAGTTTGGAAGTATATCTTTCGGAAACTTGAACGACCTTGCCAAAATCTCCAGATATTTCGTAAATTATGCATATATTCACAACTTGAACTTAACCTAACTCCCTCTCGGTTTTCCTAGCTCTCTCGCTTATGCACTTTAGCATTTCATCGGAGAATGGGCCTACTCAATCTTGAAGGTCGAGGTCTCTCGGAAAGACTTATTGAAGGCACTCGTCCACTAGATTGGGGCTTACTTGAGTTAGGCAATTCTTTGTAAGATTACCTGATCTCAATCAATTTATCAAATCCATTCGCTTCCGAAACCCCCTCCTTCTAAAAGCTTTCGCTTAATAATTCTTTGAAATCATGATATACACACATATATACCTCTAGTACCCCCCACAGGAGCGATCACCATGGATATCTACGATACGCCTCAACTAGATTCCGTCAGCTTGGAGTGATTATGAGAATTCATAGTATCAAATTGTGATGAGCTTGAGTTTGAGATTGCCAGTGCCCTTGGGATGGTATGATAAAGAATCTGGCAATTGGGCTGATAGCTTTTGAGTTTTTTTGTTGTCATTCCCATTTGCGATCTTTGGGAATGGGATGATAGGAATCGAATGATATAGATACCTTAGAAACCCCTTTTCAAAATTCTTGGATTTGGTAAATTTCACATTTCACATACTCTGAACCATCACATTGTTCATATCTATTTTGCAAAGCGTCTTCCGAAACTCTCTTCCAAGCTGCCCATACAAAATCATTACCCTGAGCTTTAGCTAGGATCTGGAGTTCTTCAGTGGTTTGAGCGAGAGCTTTTATGATGCCCTAGAACGTATTTCTCGGATACGAAGAGAGATAATAGAAATTTCATTGCAAAGAGGGGTAAAGAAGGGTGAATACCTGTGTCACACTCTCCATTTACTCCATCTAGTCTGCTTCTTCCATGCGGGATACACGTTTCTATTCACTGGAGAAAATTCTCGTGGTATTATCCACCTGGGCACCTCTTGCTTTTGGATTCCTTGGCCCTGATTAGATTGGCGTTCTTCGCTTATTGGTCTTTGTGATTCACAATCAAAATACTCAAACCTCTGGGGTTCCAATGAAAAAGACATAACTCCACGAGTAAAAAAGCTATACACAATTGCTATGCTTCTGGCTGTTGACCAAAGATATAGCAAGTTCTGTGTGAGATCAATATCTTTATGGGACTTATTATGGAATTATACAACACGAATCTTTGTTGTCATTGTGTTTTTTACTTCAGGTGATATCATTCTAAAGAGATAAAATCATATCATGTTTGACCATTTTACAGTTAAACTAGCTAACCTTTCCAAACACTCATAGCATAAAGTTAATATAGTCTTAATGATGATTTTGAAATTCCATTAAAAGCCTCCTCGGGTTTATTGATCGTGCATGTCTGTTCGCGATTTGAAGATACGAGATCTATATATGATATGGATCTTCTGCTAGTGTATCGATATGCGAGATTTATTAGAATACTAACAAGAGATAGAAAAGCCCTTCATTGATGTCAGTAAGATTAGGAAAGAAGTGAAGGTCGCGGACTACATCTATCGATTTGATGTTCAATACGAGGCTCTAAGTGAATTGGTGATCTATATATTCCCGGGGATTTCTTTTCCTTACTCAAAATCTAAAGTCCATGGAATGGACACCGAAGAAGCCTTCAAGCAAGAAACGCATACCACAGCAAGACAGCTCTCGACTTGAGATTTCCTTTCTCTCTCTCTCTCTCTCGGAAACTAGTGCTCTGCAAGTCCTTGATCACGGAAATGTATAGTGTGAATTTCACCTAAGGGATCTTTGATAGAGGAATCAAATATATTTCATTTTTTTTTTTTGTGTGCAGTGATAGGACGATTTAACATTTATCCCGCTATTGATCAAAAAGTAAATTCATAGAAAAACTTTCTGCTGTGATGATGTGATGATATGATACACTGATGCGTGGGTACAAGCCAGTGGCGGGGAACTATCAGAATAGATGCAGTCCGTGAATCCGCTGGTGTCGTTTGAGCTCTCTTCTGCTTCAACTCATCTCATCTTTTGGTCAGGATTTAATTAAGTACCCAAAGACTTGAAGATTCATACCAAAGTTTGGAAGTGACTGACTTCTCAATATTCATTACCAGATCAAAGAAGATGATCTTGAGCCTCTGCAATCAGCTCCAGAGCGTTGAGAATACTCGCCCTATCCTTCGAATCATATAGTCGTGGGCCTGTGATTAAGTAATATCCGTTCGGCTAGCAACTTTGCTCCATCACGGATTCTGTTTATGCAGCAGTACTACTCCAAGAAACACAATCACAGCCTAAAATCCTAAAGAAGCAGAAACTTCCGAGTATAATAGCAATTAGATTTCTCAAATACACTGTAGATTCAAGTGGAAAATTTGCTTGAATAACGCCCTGAAGGCCTTAGCTTTACAAACAGCTTCAGTGCGTCTTTGATCTTCATCATCAATCGTCATCATCGATTTCCTTTTACAATTTTGGGGGTCAGACGGCGATACGTTAGGTCGTGTGTACAGATTACCACAGTTTTTCCCACGTGCCTTACTTTCCACGGCTTTGAACAGTTCGAATTTAGTCTGCACTTACATGCATGATATAAAGACCGTTTAGTTCAAAAGCTCTTTAGGTTGACTTGGAAAGAACTCGTTGCTACCTTAAAAGAAAGTTTATTCGATATTGAACGGGGAGGGGGTCGGGAATAAGGTTAGCCTTCGGTAAATTTCCGGTATCTGTTTGAAGCTGAAGCCGGGATGAGCACAACATTGTTTGACCATGGTTCATAATTCCAGAAACCCATTGTTACTGTCTGGCAATGCTGGTATATGTAGACGGTGGTATTCTTTTAGAACTGTGGAAATTATTTTTGTCTCTTGCACTATAAGGGATACCCCTTTTCTTAGCTGGCTGGAAAACACTGATTTGATTTGCTAAGAGGCGCGGTTGCTAATCAATACCAACGCATATGAGGCTTTTGGGGACTATGTAGATTGAATAGCCTTTACAATATTGTTTGTTACTTTGGTGTTATCGTTGGTCTCTATGATGATGTCATTCGTCTCTTGTATAACCGCAGTTGTCGTTTTCCCTTCTTCAGCAGTAGCTTTCACAAATTTTTTAGCGTCCTGGCTTATTGTGATAATCTTTTGGTGGGCTATTGTATTTTCCCCATGTTCCTACTGTTGTAGATTGTGCCATTTCTGCTGTCATTTTGAGATCATTTTAAATCCTTGCGAGGCTTCTATGATTATGCTCATACCCGGGGTATTCTGGAGTTCGACGGAAAGGCCTGTGTCCTTGGTATACCCAAATGCCCCGAAGAGTTCATCCGTAAGGATGACAAGTGTGTCTCGATCGGAAAACCTATCTGTCCCGATGGAAGCGATTACAACGGAAAAATCTGTGCCACTACCCTTCCTCCGACCTGTCCTCTCCCTACAATCTTGAAGGGCAAGTCTTGTGTGGCAGGACCACCTACGTGCCCCGCTGGTCTCGAGTATCATGAAAAAGTGTGTCAATCGAACCAAATCCCTACGCGTCCTGATAGCTACACCTCAACGGTAAGTCTTGTGTCAGCGTTAAGCGGCCGCAATGTCCTGAAGGCTTGAAGTTCTGCGATGTGAGCTGCGTCAGCGTCGGCTTACCCGTCTGTCCCTCTGGCACTGAGTTTTATGATCTCTTCAAGGTGTGCGCCTCTGTTTCCGGACCTGGCTGTAAAGAGGGAAGTATCCTAAAGGCCGGGGAATGCGTGTCTGAATTTGCGCTTTCCTGTCCCGAGTGCAGCAACTTCAACCCCAAAACCACAAAATGTAATTTATCTGATAAGCCTAGCTGCCCTCCTGGATCTGAACTAGATGTACTCACCGAGAAGTGTGTGATGGAAGAAGCAGCCGGTTGTCCTCCCGGAAGCGATCTCTCCATCGATACTATCTCTAACACTGCCCGCTGCTGCCCCACTACGATGGCTTGGGACGGCGAAGTCTGTGTTATTGGAACCTATTTCAATGGCAAATGTCCCCCAGGTTTCACTCAAGCCGGCAAGAAATGCCAGAAGCAAGCGACAAAGTTACCTGAATGTCCCCCCGGCTCGACGATGAATGGCAGGTTCTGTGCCTCAACCGAGCTCCCTGAATGCCCTCCTGGCCACATTCTAGAAGGAACCATCTGTTCCGTCATCGAGAAGCCCGAATGTCCTCCCGAATTGACACTCGCTGGTGAGAACTGTATTTCCACTGTCTCAGTTAGTTGCCCTACTGGAACCAGGTTCGAGAGAGGCATGTGTATCAGTATTTCCCAACCCGTCTGCGAGGATGGATTCACCTTCGACAGCACCAAATGCATCTCCAACACCCGTATTCCCGAATGTCTCGAAGAGGGCAGCACTTTCGACGGCGAGGAGTGTGTCACTCCCCACTTTCCCACCTGCCCTGACGATACAGTCTTCGATGGCACTCGCTGCATCTCCACTATCACCCCCGTCTGTAGCCCTGAGTTCATTCCCAATGGTGAGGGCGAATGTATCACAACCTCTATCCCTCAGTGCAAGCCAGGCTCTTCTTTGGTTGCTGGCAGCTGCATCGTTGAAATTCCCACCTGTCTGAAAGGAACAATCTTCGATGGCAAGCAGTGCATCAGCCCCAAGGACCTCGAATGCCCACCTGATCACAAGTTGAGCAACGGGAGGTGCATCAGTTTGGTTAGCATTGACTGTGAACCTGGTTACACCCTGTTAAACGGCGAATGTATCTCCGAAAACAAACCAGAGTGTCCTACTGGAACCACCTTCGACGGCGAGGTCTGTCTTGGCTCCATACCCGAATGTAATGAAGGAATGGTATTTGATGGCGAGGACTGCGCATATCCCGAAGAACCCAGCTGCCCCTCAGGAATGAGATTTAATGGCAAAGGTGTGTTGCTGAGGACCAGCCTGGTTGCCAGGCTGGCAATGTCTTCGACAAAAAGTGCAAAAAGTGCGTAGCTGTTGACCCACCTGGATTTTCCGAAGGTCAGATTTTCAATGGAAACCGTTGTGCCTTTGCATCGGAGGAATGTATGAGCTTTGAGTGCTGTCCTGCTGTACGGGAGTGCTCTGAAGGATCTGTATTTGATAAGCACACGGGTATGTGTGCAGATTGGTAAATTGGTTTTACATGGAATAATTAGAATTTGTAACAAGAATTTCGCTATTTGTATATATATACAGGTATATGTTTAAAACCTGTAACGTTCACAGATTGGTTGGCTTGAACAGGTCGAAATATCAAGTGGGCTGAACGGTTCCTGGAGAATACTCAACAGACCCAAGACAAGATCGATTGAAGTGCTCTTCAGAAAAATTGAACTGGGTATTGTGAGATTACTTTTCCAAGCAAATTGATAACTGCGCTTGCTAGTAACATATACTTCCTCAGTATACTAGCAACATGATCAATGAAAGTATGATACTGGTTAATACAGCCTCCCATTGTTGATGACCCCCCGGAGCTAGGTAATCTCAGATACCCCTCTTTTGTTGATCAGTGAATCCATTCATTTCTCCATCTTTTCTAGACCCTGATAATTTTCTCAGATTCTCCTCACCCATTCTTCTCTTATTTAAGAGATGGAGTTTCCCACCCTATTCGGTAGACAAACGTGATTGACAAACCGTTCACACACATATTGTGTCTTGTGAGCTTTGTGCACAACTATGTGGCTCCCATTGAATAAATTAAGCGTGAGCTTGCGTAGATCTTAGCAGTGGAATTCTCCCGCGGAAACCCTCGCAATTGTCTCGAGTTTTAGCTAGAAATTATCATGTTTTCGATAATAGAATTTAGCATGGAAGATCGACAACAATAAATGTACAACGATAATCGTGGGATTAGATTCGTTCTGGGATGACAGTCAGTTTTTTGCTCCGAAATGGAACTTTCGTTTGGCAATTTGCAATTATTAATGACAGATTTAGGCGGTTCGTCATTCATAAGGTTTTGAATGCTTCTGTGAATACACCCCGGGTCCATTGGAGAGATTTATCTGTATTAAGGTTAAAGAAGCGACTCGCGTTTCCTTGCAGCTCCAAATGATCCGATAGTTTCTCACATGAGCTAGTGTCGCATAAGCCCATGTACCGTTCTCCACTATCATAACTCCGAATGTACGTAGATTGAGTCAATACCATGAATGAAACAATTCCGAACTACAGTCGTATGATACTTGTTCGTTGATGTAACTCTACATGCGGGGCAGGTGAGGGGAAATGCGGGGAGGAATAATGTGTTACCTCTAAGCATAGCTAATGTCGTTGCCATCACCATTCAAGCTGTGGTACTCCGGATATATTGAATGCTGTGTAATTCTGGGTGCCGGGATATGAGAAAGGGAGTGAAGATTGTGTGGAAGTCTATATAAAGAGACTACAGACTCAAAGTGTTTCTCAATCTTATTCATTCTTCCATCTCGGGTTTGAAATCTTAAGAAGGAAATCACATGCAAAATGGGAAAGAAGGTCATTGCCGCCGCAGTTCATGCCGCTCCAGTCTTCATGGATAAGAAAGGCAGCATCGAAAAGGTTTTAAAACTAATCAAGGAAGGAAAAGAGCAAGAAATTGAATTATTAGTCTTTCCCGAGACATTCGTTCCTGGATATCCAGTGAGTCCCTTCGATTCATTTGTTCTGCTACTCAGACTGACGCAGAACCTTTAAACAGTACTTCATTCACACCCACCCACCCCTCAAGTTCGTTGATGCACAAGCTCAATATGCGGACGAAAGTGTAGTCGTCGGAAGAACAGGCGGTGATCTCCTCCCTATCATGCATCTCTGTGCCGAACTAAAAATTGCTGTTTCGATCGGAATATCAGAGCGTGTGGAAGATGGGCACACACTGTTCAACTCGCAAGCGTTTATCGATACCGACGGAACTCTCCTCGGGGTCCATAGAAAGATTCAACCTACGCACGCCGAGCGCACGCTCTGGGCACAAGGAAGCGGACATACCTTAAAAGTATGGCCAAGCAGCGTTGGCCGAATAGGAGGACTTGCATGTTGGGAAAATGGAATGAATAACGCACGTCAAGCATTAATCGAAGATCGACAAGAGATTCATGCTGCAGCATGGGCAGCCCTTAACACTGTATCGGGATTCGAATCGGTAGCAAACATTCAGATCGAAGCCTTGATGAAAAATCATGCATTTACAGCACAAGCATGGGTCATTTGTGCAAGTAATTACGTCGACGATAGGACTTTGGAGTGGATGGAGGAGAATCTAGGACCGCAGGATCTCGTCAAGAAGGGTGGGGGATGGAGTGCGGTTATTCATCCTTTTTGTGCTGTGTTGGCGGGTCCGCATACGGGAGCCGAAGAGAAGTTCTTGAAGGCTGAGATTGACTATGATGAATTAGGAGCCGTGAAAGTTTGGATTGATGCTAGTGGACATTATAAACGTCCGGAAATATTGAAGTTGGACGTTGATAGAAGTCCAAAATGGCCGGATGATGAAATCCTCGCAAGTGGGGCTTCTATAGACCTCAGACCCACGACGGAGTAGGAAGTCAGTAACACTTGGGGGTTCAGTATCAATGAATGTTGTTTGCTCATAGCGAGAGGCCATCCAACTGGATTTAAAAACTGAAATTTAAGACTGAAGTTTGAATTGCTTGAAACACTATTTCAGCAACCTTGTTGTAATTTTAATGTTTGTATTGTTCCTTTATTATACATCGAGTGATTGAATCTATACTTCCTCTCGCAAGAAAACCTCAGATTTGCATAGCATCAGTCGTCTCCCTCATACCCTCGTTAGCTCTCTCATCTTCAGAGTCCTTAGCGATGCTTGCTTCAACGATTTCCGCAGCATGGATTATTCTTGCCCAGCTTGCGCACCCAATCATAGTCTTGCACAGATTTCCATCTTTGTCCCTTTCCTGCATATTTTGTTCTCCAGTTTTTCCGACACCAAATTTCTTGTAGAACTGGCGTGCATGCTTAGGGGAAATCGTGTAGGGGCGGCTACCGCGATAGTACAACGAATCCTCCCTATCCCTCATAAACTCCTTTCCCCATTTAGCGATACGAACAATTTCATTTCTAAGTTTCTTGGTGTGTGCATGCTTTGAAAGAGCAAGATATCCATCCACAAGATGATGTAGAAAAAAGGATCCGTCTGAAAGCATTCTTTGGGATAGATTTGGATTACAGTGATCGAAAAGTGCGCCCTCGGGATCCATTGCTGCTTCCGCGATTTCTATTGCCGTTGACAGATATCTAAGATCGTTGGTAGCTTCGTACAAGAGTGTAAATCCATGAATGGCGAATCCACTATTATATGACCATTTCGTACGTTCGATTTCCGTGGATCCATCTTCCTTTATTTTCAATTGATCCCAGATGAGTTTATCCTTTGGATCTTGCAAGTTCTCTTGAAGCCAAGTCAATAAGATTGTGGCAAACATAAGATAGGATTCAGCTTTATCGCGAGTCTCAATGACATGAGTTGACGGTAAGGCTCTTATTCTCAAGGCCGATACAGCAGCTGGGCCAACTGAGCAAGCAGCTCGAACTGTCTTGTCTGAGAGATGCCATGCGATGCCACCTGATTCTTTCTCCGCAAATGGCATAATAAAACACTCCAGAACGTCCTTGGCTTGAAGTAAAAACTCGAGCTGCCCCGTAACTTCATACGACGATACTAAAGCTTGAACGACGTGAGCGTTATCATCATAGTAAATGTCTTTATTTCCAAGGAACATCTTCCAAGCACAAAATGCATGGTAGTCCTTGTTCCAGTATTCTTGCTGTACTTTTTCAACTTGATTTATTCTCGAATGCGAAAGACAGTCGGCAGCTGCATGAAGCATGATCGAGACAGGCCATAAGACATATGCGAAATCATTTTCTTTCCCTAGAGTACTTTCGTGCTCTACTTTGCCCTGGAATTGGTGTTTTTCTTTGCAGTAAAAGTATTGGAAGGTCTCCTCAGCTAGAGTTCCAGATTCAGTCTCGCAGTTCTTTGCATCAAATATGTATGATTCATTTCGGAAGAATGACGAAATAGGCGGTTTGAACGGGTCCGGACGGGGTAATTGTCTCTGAAATCGCACCAAATCTTCATCATGAGGCTCGTCAACGTGTTCCACATTTTGATGAACATGTAATGCTCGGAGATGCTCTTCCAGAGTCATTCCGGGAGGTTCTTCAGGGATCAGAGACTGTTGCTGCTCTGTAGTCACCTCATCAGTTTGCTCGGGGATCCTAGACTGTTGCTGCTCTGTAGTCACTTCATCAGTTTGCTCGGAGATCGTAGACTGTTGCTGCTCTGTAGCCATTTCGCCAGTTTGTTCAGAGCTCGTTGACTGTTCCTGAGGCGGGGTAGGGTCTTGATCACGCCTCTTGATCTTTTGCTTGACTTTCCTAATGCTCTTCTTCACGAATTGTCTCATCGTGATTTGTAATGTTATTTTGACAAGTTGGAATAATGTTTATAGAGCACGGAAAAAGAAATTAAATGAGCTTGTAACTTATCTTTTATTTACACCATGCCACATAGATTGACTGTATCGCGATTGCCATCAATCTTAGCTGCGTTGCAAACAGTGCTTGGAATGCGGGCAGGTACGCTCGGGTGCGCTGCACTGAACTGGGCTTTACATAAGTGTCATTGCGCCACATTAGAGGCTCAATGGCACACGAATAGAGTGCCTCGATTACCACAATTGCAATTACGACTTGTTATATGGTAACGATAAGATTAATTACTCTAGCAAATTGATGTTATCCTCGTCTAAATATATGAGAAACCGATACACTATTCGAATGAAAGTTGTATTTTTGATGAAGAACTAGCAAGCTACATAATTGAACACTCAAAACACTCAAAAAACTCAATGCTTTGTCGCTCCTTCCTAGATGTTCCCACATAAGGCAATCAGGAAAGAGGGTGAAACTTTTTCGATTAGTCGATCTAAGATTTCGCTTGAAGTCTATCGAGTGGTCAGCTTACTGAGGCATCTCTACTGTCCAAGATACAAGTGATGAAGTTTCGTTGACCTGCTTTGTAGTGATTTAGAGACAAGAGCTTATTTTTGTATTAGTTGTATCATTTGTCATTTGTTCCAAACATAGACTTCCTCGACTACTCATGTCACTACTTCTTGCCAATTACCAAATCATTGAGTTCTTGTCTGAAAATTCATTGACACCTCCCTCCTTCGGCTAACTTCCTCGGAGAGTGAATTTTCTATTGTGAGACCAACTTGTGTCCCTTCCGTATTTACATCCTTAACTCCACATCTCTTAAACATTGCCCTCCAATCCCACGACCGTAGTTTCCCCGTGCTTAAACGTCCTCAATCCCGTTCTGGTGATCTTCAACTGACTCCCACAATTTGGATCTGGACATGCTATCAGTCCGTCTGTGGTCATCCAATCATTGGAATGGGTGAAGCGTTGCTTTGCTGCTAGTAGAGGGAGAACCGATGCTGTGGGTTTGTTAGTTTTGGCCTAATCTATTGGTAGGGAATTCATAAATGAAGTAACGGACATAAACTGTAAATGCTAATTCCCTGGCCAGGTGGTAAATATAGCATTTCTCCCTCGAGAGTAAAATGATCACCTTCCTTGGCACCACAGAGGATTTTGGAAGAGGGAGGGCAGATAACTTCGACACGGAGATCGAAAAGCTGAAAGGAATCATCAATCGGGGTTGAAGATGTCGTCGCCATTTTTATGTTTGGGCTCGGAAGTAGAGATCGTCAAAAGATGCTGTGTGGGTAGTGGTGGTAGTAGAGTAGGCTTGGATTTGAAATTGGCTCGGAGAGTGTAACCTTAGTTCCAGGTAAGAGTCTAGATTTGAGTGTGTCTTCGGGACCACAGCCTTCATATCTAACCTTACCGAATAACAAGGCTCTCAGGATCTGTCAACACAACAACCCACTGAGAGACCGAATACTATCGGCGTTCTACGGTAAACAATCATTATTCCAGGTTCCCCGCACGATATGAAGGATCCCCCACTTTTGAACACCGATAATGGAGATAGTGACATCTGGAATGCTGATTGCAGATCAATTAAGATACGAGTCAACACACTCTGACAACTTAACGAGGAAGACTGTTATCGGACAAAAGATTCCCCTCGCTCATCCAAAAGCCAGCATCGGTCAACAAACCATCCCAGATTTCCTTATCATGCAGTAAATCCGTGCTGAAATCCGGCGTGCTCCCATTTATTGAAGTTGTGTCTGTCAATTCCCCAGCGTCCTGATGGGATTGAACGGGTTTGGGGACATGGCAGCTTGTACCCACATCGGTGTTCATTCGATTATGGAGACTCTCTAGTGACGTTGGAATGTCGGGTTGATGCGAATGAACACCGTGATCTCGGACTTGATTGCTAGCATGGGATTTCAATCTATGGTATTTCCCAACGAGATTTTTCAAGAATCGTGCTTGCATTGCACAGCCCGTCATTTGTGTAGCACATTGTTCTGAGAAGGTATCGGATGAGAGGAGAATTGCCTGTAGCGATTGAGTCTCGAGATCTGAGCGTAAATTCTTGGGAAGAGATAGCAGCAACTGCCATTGTCAGTAGTTTATTTCAGACATTGTGAAACGTTTGACAATAAACGAATGTACCCACCTTAATGAGGAATATGGCAGCATAAGCTGTCATCACATGAACAGAGTCCTGTACAAAATAGAGCTGTTTGAGAGGCCCAATGACTTTCGATATATTCTCCAACATGCCGATTGCACTTGAAGAACACTGCCATAGTGCTGATTTCGACACTGCAGATCCTTTCTTTGCAGCTTTGAGGGATTGTTGCAAAGTATAGGAGTTGAGAAGGAGGCGGAGATGTAAGCCATAGAAGTTGACAAGGAATTGCTGAGGAGGTGCAACCATTTCTATGGAAACTTAGCGACAGGTCAGATATCAGGAAAGATTTAACAAACCATCTTCAAATTTGGGCAACCAATCCTTTTCCCAGGTGTTGAGTTCGGTGTTTAAGAGTTTAGACAAAATTTCTGACCGGAACTTTTGAGAATCTAATTTAGTCGATGACGAAAGCTCGAGAAACTCGGCACTGATTAACCGTAGACAGACAAACGCCGAGAGAAGCAGATCCTCACCAGGTACAGCGTATTCTTCTTGGTACCATTCGCTTGCTTTTGATATCAGGTTGTTTTGGTCTATCATCCAGGGTTTGTCGAGTTGTAAGCTTAAGCTTCGATCTGTTAGAGAATATGGTCAGGTTAAGAATGGGGTAAAGACTAACCTTCTGTCATAAACAAATAATACCAGCCATGTTCTTTCAATATTTCTAGCTTCCCTGATGCTTAATTCATCGGTCGAGGTCCGCAGCTTTTGTGTCACCGGTTTCAGTTCGTGCCACCCGAGCTCAATACACATGCGAATAGCATAGCCAACGAGTAGCCAAGTGCGTATCTCAGCTGGTTCTTTCCAATAAGTAAAGATTAATATTGCTTGAACAATCTCTGTGGACTTAGCTCCCCGGGTAAATACCCTTCCGAGTAGATTTTCGGTATGCGACCTGAGTGTGGGATGAAGCGCGGGGTGAAACGCTTTAGAAGAGGCTGAAAGAATTGCAGTGAGGAGGAATGATGAACGTTGGCGAACGTAATCAAATGTATGGAGTTTAGGGTCTAATTGACAGATGTATGGATTTAGACAGCGCATAAAACTATTCCCTGTCAGATTCACAGACAATTTTCCTCATAGTTCCGTCTTCTTATAAGGATTTCGAATCATTGAATCTTACCTATCGAATAGACCAAGTGCAACAGGAAAACTAAGCATGTTACATGTGATCGGATCATTGAAGCTATCTGCACTTGGGGTTGGTGATCTCGGTGAAGGGTGAGGTCTCAGAACATCCGGCACAGAAAGAATATTCTCCAGTGAGAATTTCCCAAATTGTGCTTCCCTACTTAGTATTCCAACTTGTTGTAATCCTTCGCTACCCCATGATTGTGAAGTTTGGGGTGGAGATGTATCTAACATACCACTTGGTGTGGCGTTTGGAGGTGTTTGTCGTTCCATCTCACAACGAAGATGTGTTGAAGTTTGGGGTTGATTTAGTGACTCGGCAATACTTCCGCTTTCAATTTGTGCATTTGGCCTCTGAACTTTTCGTCTTATCCTAAAGATAATTAGTACATAAATCATGCTGTACTGCATTTCAGTGAGATTGTGAATACTTTGTTCCAGGCTTTCTCCCTCTTCGATGCTGCTCAAATATACATTCAAGCGACTTTCGTTTGCATCGCTCACATTTCTCATCGAGCGAAGTGCTTTTACACTTTAACTTTACACTCCGGCATGTCAAACATGCTATTTGACTTCAGATATTTTGTCACTATCAACACCTGAAAGTTCTGCTCGAATGTGACTTACCCACTAAGTTTTGAACTAGAATGGCCAGGAAGTACAGACGACGACGAAGACATTGTTCTCGAACAATTTGTTGGTATAGCATTGATCAAAAGGAGAAACACCTTTTCAGGCAATTCGAGTACATATAAATGAATCTAGATTCCAGGATGCAATGCACTGTTCCAGCCTAATGTCCGGGGAAGATGGTAGATAGTCAAATAGCTTATCAGTGACCTGGCTCCTAGCCTGCTATCATCCCCCCACCTTTGTACAAATTTCGCCTCTTCTCTTTCCGGGCTGTAACCCCGAGAATGCAGTTGCTCAAACGGTGAAAGTTCCGGATTACTTTGATTTTGAGTTTACTGTCTATATTCCGCTCCACAATCTCCCATGGCTTCGAAGACATCTTTAGCTCTTGATCTATTCAATACACTTTGTATCGCCCCTTTATCTTCTACGTCGAGAACAAATGAGAAAGCTTTAAGATTTTCATCGATGTGCTCGCTGATCCCCATTCTTGCGCCTATTATGACAGCCCCGACATAATCGTGGTCCAACACCCATCTTATCGCCGCACTGGAAACAGAAACGTTATGCTTGGATCCAATTTTTGCCAGAATGTTCAGTAGTTCTTGAAAAAGTATCCATCCTCCCCATATGTTGATCATTTCGAAATATTTTCGATGACTTGGGGTCATGTTCTCGTCGAAAAGATTGGGAGCAGGTTTTCCAACCCATTTATCAGCTAAGAACCCACCACATAAAGAGCCATAAGTGAGTAGTTTAACGTTATGTTTCCTACAGCTTTCAGCCATCTTAAAAGTGGGTCTCAGATCTATCAGGGAGAACTGAACTTGGTTCGAAACTGCCTTGACACCGCTTTCCAAAATTTCGCACATGTGATCTGAGTCGAAATTGCAGAGACCCAAGCTTTGGACGTTGGGATGCATCTCTATCAATCGCGCTGCTTCCACATATTGGTGATCGTTGTACTAAATTATTTGTCAGTGCATCCACCGTCAACCCTTGCCATCGTGTACATACATCTTGCCAATGAAATTGGAGCAATTCCACGCTTGTAGAGTTTATCGCAGTGAGACGCTCTGACACATTTGCGTCTACAACCTCTTTTGTTACTTGGATAGGTTCGAAGACAGCCCATTTCGTCGCACAGTATATCTTCTCGGAGTCTTCTTGTCCCGATCGAAATTGTCCCTAACATATGTCAGTAGGCTAGCTTGCATTAACGGCACCTAACTTACGAATGTCACTTCGGCATCACCATAATGATCAGCCATATCATATGCAATAAGCCCAAAATCGACATGCTTCCTAAAATGACGATCAATCTTCGATCTAGAAGCAGTCCCCCAAGCAGGACTAGAGAATTGCCAGAGCCCCATGAACATTCTGGGTACTTCAGCCGGCCCCAATTGGAATGATTCTAATGCACTTTTCGATGATTGAAATCCATTTGTCCGACGAATTTCATTCCTCTGTAAAGGTTGAATTTCGCCGCCAGTTCCTTCAATCAGTTTCTCGAGACAACAAAGCCCACGGTCAAAGGGAAAATCTTGCCCGCGAGCAACAGCGATTCTTCTGCAGGCATGTAGTACTTCTCGTAATGTAGCAATAGTCTTGGAATCTTCGGTATTCATAGGGCGCATTCCTGAACTGGTAAGAAGTAATTTTTGTACCGCTGTTATTGACTGTACGATATCCCCATCGATAGTTGCTAGAATATCCAAGAACTCTTCTCCTTCTGCAGTTCTTTCGTCCCACTCCAAATTATGTATTTGTTGCATGACGCTGGTGAGAAGTTCCACACTTTCGAATCCAAATCCACAGCCCATCAGACACCTATATCGACTTTGAATTCGCTGAAGGTCTGAAGTTGGTCGTGGTGATCCGCCAGATGTGCTGAAGAGCTCCGGTATGGATGATGGCTTCGTGTTTGCAAGATACTTTGCAGCAAGTTTGGTGAGACCGGCTGTATTTGAAGTATTTTCTCCTAAAAGACCTCGAAGTATTGATCGTAGACCGTCCGCTGGCATATTCGCAATGATGCAGTCTGTCATCATATTAACATGAGCAGCTTTCGCTGGAGACTTCGCAGCATTTTGTTCAGTATCCATATTGCCCAAATGTGGTGCAATGAAGGGAAATTCAATTGATTGATCGTTGAGAGTCTTCATCTGAATTGTAATTGAAAAGTCTTTTTGTGCTCAAACTGAACTGTCTGCTTCAGAGTATATAGACCCCTCAACGATTTGCCCACTCTACATATTTCGCCCCCAATATTTACATAATTCATCGCGAAGACGTGCATGTTTGAAAGTTATCGACAGATCTTGGTGGGGAAACACCTTACATATCGTCTTGAACACCGAACACGCTAAATACCCCTGAAAGATTTAGTGTTCTATTGCACGGGGTCTTAATAATCCCCGACAATTTGCCTATCACGTTTGAACACCGACCTTTACGTCCTGCTTATCTTGTCAAGCACATGGATTTCAAGATACTGCAGTTTCCTAATGTACATCAACTATACCTGTTTCAATATGCGGTATCAGGTGTCGAAGGGGTTCTTGAACCCTGGAGTGATATATTATGTCGATCGAGGCCCCCTTGACATCAGTATAATTGCCTGTACTATCCTTCTAATTGAGGATAGATAACCCATTATTTAGTTTTTACTCATGACTTCAAACTCGACTGGATCCGTGGATCCAAAATCATCTTACATGATGAAGTCTGAAGTATTTTCTCATCCAGAAACTGATGTCGACGCCGAAATAGGCTCCACTGAAGATGTTCCCCCTGGGGAAGAATTGAAAAGGAACATGAAGGGGCGCCATATCAATATGATAGCTATCGCTGGTATGATCGTAGGTCATGCTCAACAAGATCAAAGAACTGCGCACTAATGATATAAATCAGGGAACGGGACTGTTTCTGAGTTCCGGGACTACAATCGCCCAAGCTGGTCCCGCTGGTGCATGGCTTGCATACATTTTCATGGGATTTGTGACCGCAGGGGTCAGCGTAAGAGTTCCAAATTCATTTATAGCAATGGGAAGTCGGTGATTGATCAAATGATAGTATACGACTGGAGAGATCACTGCGTTCATGCCAGTGGCTGGTGGATTCGTGCGTCATGCTACAGCATTTGTTGAGCCTGCTCTAGGAGCCGCGACTGGATGGAACTTTTGTAGGCTCTGATATCTTAATTCTCAAGGGACTTCGGCTTATTTAATTTAGGGTACACAATGGCTATTTCAGTGCCGGCGGAACTAAGTGCAGCTGCGACACTCATCCAGTTCTGGGATTCGACCACAAATCCAGCGGTTTGGATTACTGTGTTCTTGGTCGTGATAGTATGCCTCAATTTCTGTGGTGTGCGAATGTATGGTGAAGTAAGACCTCTGAACTGCTCGCTTATTATGCTGAAACTAATAGTGATTTCATAGTCTGAAGTCATTTTCGCTTCCATGAAGATTGCTCTCATCATTGGTTTGATTATTGCAGGACTAGTCGTTGATCTTGGTGGGGGACCAAAAGGAGAACGACTTGGGTTCACCTATTGGAAATCACCAGGGGCATTCAATGAATATCTAGTCAGTGGTAACACAGGGCGATTTCTGGCGTTCTGGTCCTCTCTCATTAGCGCTGCCTTTAGTTATGGCAATGTTCAAGTGGTGGCACTTTCGGGTACAGAAACGGGAAATCCCCGAAAGATAATCCCAGAAGCCACGAAGAAGACGTTCTTCCGTGTCTTCTTCTTCTATGTTTTGAGCATCTTGATAGTAGGAATGATTGTGTAAGTCATTTCTTCTATCCCATTGTATACTTTACTTGACTAAAAATTCTTAGTCCATATGACAGTGAAGCTCTATCTGTTTCTACCGGAACAGCTGCCTCATCCCCATTTGTTATTGCTTTCAAGGCCGCTGGAATCAAGGTTCTGCCTTCTATTATTAACGCTGTTGTCTGTACATCTGCTATCAGTAGTGGATCTGCTTGTATCTTCCTGGCGTCTCGTACACTCTATGGCCTAAGTGCAGATGGCCATGCTCCAAAGATCTTCATGAGGTGCAATCGATTTGGTACCCCATGGTACGCGGTTGGTCTGAGCGTGCTCCCATCACCTCTTGTGTACATGGTCGTTAGTAACCAGGCATCTGTTGTGTTTGGGTGGTTTGTTAACATTACTACGGTTGCGGGACTAATTGGATGGGTCGTCATTGAAGTTACATACCTCAGGTTTTTCTATGCTCTGAAGCAGCAGGGCATTTCTCGAGATTGTAAAAGATCCCCCCCCTAGCCTTCATTTCATTGACTAATGGTGTTGTAGCTTTACCTTACAAGGGCCCCTTTCAGCCTTACGTAGCATGGATCACGGGATTCATGGTCTTTTTGATTGTGCTTTTCTCTGGTGAGGCTATTATCTCCAATGACAATTTTTTTGGCTAACGAGATGCTTAGGGTATGCTGTATTTTTCCCGGGAAATTTCACTGCTTCTGGGTTCTTGACATACTATATTAATATTGCAATCTTTATCGGTATGCTTCTCTCAAATCTCACATTAACGCATGCTAATCAAGTCAATTATTCGTAGTTCTTTATGTGTTTTTCAAGATTTTCCTGAAATCGAAAATCATTCCACTAGAGAGCATACACTTTGAAGCCGAGCTAGAGTCAATACGCAGATGGAAGTATACATCCGAGCTCGTGAAAGAGGAGCAAAGTCTCGCGAAAAGAATCTGGAATAAAGTTTTTTAACCTTGTCGCGGAAACTCTTTTTTGCGTAGTACCCATAATATATCCTCCATTTCCTGTATTTGTAGTTTTAGTTAATAATGAAAGACATTCGTTGGCCATTGTTCCTTGCCTTCACTCCTTGACAACAAACTGATTAACTTCGGGTTTGATCATGGTTTCTGTACTCCCGGTATGGTTTATGCAATTGAAAGTCTTCAATCGTATCAATGCCAACAGAGTTATGCTCTTCTGTCCTGAGACTGAAGCTTATGTCTCAAAGTTGGGATAATTTGGTGGGCCCATGCGCTTTCAGACATGCTCTCTGAACAGAACTTTGATACTGTACTCTCATCCTTCATTTACCCGAATGATATCCGTCTACTAAATCTCTGGCGGCCGCCGGTAAAATACACTCCCTGCTGGTACTAGACAACTCACCCGTGCTTCAATGATGCATATCCGTCCTCTACCCCCACACTTCGTGCGCGGAACATTCCTCGTGAATTTGAACACGCAATTGGCAAGCGGGAATTATTTCGGCACGTTATCCAATGTTACTTGCATTACCGGTCGTATTTAGGCTAAATAATATGTTCTCCTCAATATCTCCACTGTCGATGGAAATAATCTTCGATTTGACAACACCAAATCAGGTGATCTGGGAACATATATACTTTCTATTGTCTCATCTAAAATTGAAGTATTCATCCTACAAGCACTCATTCAGTTGCTTACTTCAATCATCATTGTTTTGTGCATCATGAAGACCTTTAAACTACTGGGGACCATTGGAATCACTGGTGTTGTTGCACATGAATTCCCAGACTGTGTGAACGGTCCTGTTAGTACCGAATTCCAACGAACTTCATTCTGTGATGTGCTTCTACTTACAAATGACGAACTAGTTGGCCAATAACACAGTATGTGATACGACTTCAGATCCATACACAAGAGCTGCAGCGGTAAGTAGAAGTCATGGATGTGTCACAGGTCTCGTCATATTGACATTGTTTAGCTGATATCATTATTTACCTTCGCCGAGAAAGTCAACAATACGGGGAACACAAGCCCTGGAGTTCCAAGGATAGGGCTTCCATCATACGAATGGTAGGTCTTGTTAAGACTTCCTCTATTATCCTGCTAAAAGACATTTGAATAGGTGGAATGAAGCACTCCATGGCGTCGCTCGTAGTCCTGGGGCCACTTTTGCAGCTGCTGGTTCCAATTTCTCTTACTCGACGTCGTTTCCTCAACCAATCTTGATGGGAGCCACATTCGACGATGACTTAATTCACAAAGTAGCCACTCAGGTCTCTACAGAAGCAAGAGCTTTCAACAATGCTAATAGATTTGGCCTTAACTTTTGGACTCCTAACATCAACCCTTACAAAGATCCTCGATGGGGTCGTGGTCAAGAAACTCCTGGCGAAGATCCATTTCATACTTCTAGCTATGTGAATGCTCTCATAACTGGACTTCAAGGTGGACTCGATGATCTACCCTACAAGAAAGGAGTAGCGACTTGCAAACATTTTGCAGGTTATGATCTTGAGGAAAGTGATGGAGTTATAAGATATGGATTTGATGCTATTATCAAATCTCAAGATCTTAGAGACTATTATCTGCCCCCATTTCAGCAGTGTGCCAGAGATTCGAATGTTCAGAGCGTTATGTGTAGTTATAACGCAGTGAATGGGGTCCCTACATGTGCGGATGATTGGTTGTTGCAAACGCTTTTGAGGGAACACTGGGGATGGACGGAAGAAGATCAGTGGGTAACTGGTATGTCAAGCTCTTGTTTCTCATGGAAGTACATAAATACTAATCAGATTAGGCGATTGCGGTGCCCTCCAATTTATCTGGGATTCTCACAATTACACAATAGCTCCCGAGCAATCAGCCGCAGATGCGCTAAATGCAGGGACCGATCTCGATTGTGGTACCTTCTGGCCAACCTACTTGGAATCAGCATATGAACAAGGTCTCTACAATATGTCTACACTTGATAGATCCCTCACCCGTCGCTATGCGTCCCTAGTTCGACTCGGATACTTTGATCCACCATCTATTCAGCCATATCGCCAAATTAGCTGGGATAACGTCTCCACACCCGCCGCTCAACAACTCGCACTGCAGGCAGCGGAAGATGGAATTGTTCTACTCAAGAATGACGGACTGCTTCCACTGAAATCGAATATCACGAACGTGGTATTGATTGGGCCATTGGCTAATGCCACGAAACAAATGCAGGGGAATTACTATGGCACAGCTCCATACTTACGTTCTCCATTGATTGCAGCACAGAATGCAGGATTCAAAGTTACGTATGTACAGGGTGCAGATATCGATTCTCAAAATACGACAGAATTCTCAGCAGCTTTATCTGCAGCACAAAGCGCTGATCTCGTCATATATGTTGGTGGAATAGATAATTCCATTGAGGCAGAAGAGATTGTATGTGCCACAGAAAGTACCCACAGCTTCATTCAACTAACATTATTGGTGATAGGACCGAACATATATCTCCTGGCCTTCAACTCAACTATCTTTAATTAATCAGCTTGCCAATCTCTCTACCCCCCTCATCATCTCACAATTGGGCTGCATGGTAGACTCCTCCTCCATTCTCTCAAATACTGGAGTAAATGCACTACTTTGGGCCGGCTACCCTGGTCAAGATGGTGGAACCGCTATCTTCAATATTCTCACAGGAAAAACAGCACCAGCAGGTCGTTTACCTATTACCCAATATCCCAGCAACTACGTGGACCAAATCAAGATGACCGATATGAACCTACAACCTAGCAGATTCAATCCCGGAAGAACTTATAAATGGTACGACGGAGCGCCCGCTTTCGAATACGGATATGGATTGCAATACACGACATTTGATGTCAAGATTACTCCTCCTTCATCTAAGAATACTTTTGAAATTTCCGAATTACTCGCAAATGCATCGAATTATAAAGATCTAACACCTTTCCTCACAATTCCCATCACCGTCTCTAACACCGGTACCACAACATCAGATTACGTCGCTCTTTTCTTCTTGAATGGAACCTTTGGACCAGCACCACATCCTAAGAAATCATTGGTCGCATATACGAGGCTGCATGATATTACTGGAGGTGCGGATGCAACTGCGGAAGTAAGTTTGAATCTTGCCAGCTTGGCAAGGGGAGATTGGAATGGAGATTTGATTTTGTATCCGGGTGATTATAAAGTCGTGGTGGACATTGATGGTAAGGACGAGTGGAGTTTCACCTTGACAGGGGAAGAGGCACTTTTGGATAGTTGGCCTGAGAAGAAACAAAGTATCAAGGTGCAAGAGACGGGTGCTAGGGTAGATTTATGATATGCTACGAAGAGTTAGAAGGAGTCAGGGGGCGCTGACTACGTGGATTGTGGATGCTTAAGGCGTCTACATGACTACGATCTGAACCCGCGTCAAAAGACCTTTGAGCTTATAAGAGCACAACATTGTTGTTCTTATAGTTCTAAAGACACATTTATTTTAACGAGTTATATGATTCTCAAAATATTATAATTCAAATTTTGATGCCTGCATACTTTGTCTTTGCTCAAAGAATCGAATTCCTTTATATTCGGAACTTTTGCGGATAAATAATTTATAGGAGTATATTCATTTGTTCCGAAATGAATTGAATGAATTGAAATGTTGAAAATATTCAGAATATTCTTTTTTCACAACAAATTCAGTGTTTTTAAGATATAAAATGCTCATATTCGGGTCATTATCATAAGTCCTATTTCTGTATACCTAAAACTATCGCAAGTATATAGGCACCAAGGAGCCTTCCCTCGCATAAATGTACAGTTCCCTGAAATCCGCAAGCAAACACTAACGCCCTACTCATAATCGTATATCATAAGAATCATAATCGAAGCAATCTACTGCTTTTCGTAATCTCTACCCGAGAATCCCGACTGTCAACCGTTCAGACCACTCTTGCTTAACCAGAAGCACAAGCAGTAGGAGGGCAATACCCATGATTACAAGAAAAACTGCAAAGACCCAAATAGCTATCATTCTCACCGGGTAATGGTCTTCCCGGTGGACTATTGGCTGGAGGTGCTTGGATAGGTGTATCTGCATACTTTGTACATGTGCATGGCCCTGGGGGACAATAAGAGTACATGCAACTGAATTCACATAGACCGAGATAATTCCCGGGCCCAGTTCCTTCGACACAATATTTGGTGCCGGTTGGGGATGATGGTGGTACGCTCGTCTTAGTTGTGGTGGAGGAATTGGAAACGGTGGAAGTTATGATTGTCGTAGGGGCTGGTACAGGAGCGGGGGATGCGATAGGAGAGCCGTCCTTATTATAAGTACAGGCTTTAGGAGGACAATAACCGTGATTACAAGTGAAATCGCACAGACCCGCGTAGGCCGATGGATCTTCGCCTGCGAGAGGATAACCAGTTGTGTTGGTTGATGGAGGAGCGGCAATACCAGTTGCAGCGTAACTGGTGCATTTACAAGGAGATGGGCAATAACCGAAATTGCATGAGAATTGACATAAGCCGATGAAATTTTCAGCTCCGATTCCTGCGACGCATGTCCCGGATGGTACAGATGACGTCGTGGAGCTTGTGCTGTTGCATTCGTGTTAGATATCGAGGAACAATAAGAAATACAGAAAGAAATACAGTAAGGAAAAACACTTACGTATTTGTGAAAGGCTTAGTAGTGGTAGGTGGAGTCGTGACTGGTGGAGTCGTGACTGGTGGAGTAGTAGTGGGTGGAGTACCAGTTGGCGGCGTCGTAGTTGAAGACTTGGTTGTAGTAGGTGGAACAGGAGTTCCTCCTCCAGGCGGTGTCATTGTTGGCCTGATGAAACCAGTAGGCAATGATGGAGTTGCGCTACATGTACTCACATGAAGTCCAGCTGTCAAAGACGCCAAGCCATCGTGAAGAAGTGGACCAGCTGCACTGTCTGGTACAGTTCCTACATATGCGTTGAAGTTATAAATACCACAAATGCAAACATCTGTGACGTCATGACGACTAACAGATTCCAACACAATCTCAGTACCACGTTGAAGGAAGAATTGTTGCTTGCCGACCTGCATATCAACTTGGTACGCTGAAGCTCCAGCTGGTGCGCTGAACTGTTGAACGTTATCTCCGGACATTACTGTAACAATTCCTGGCTCTGTAAGCATCGCAACGACAAATACCGAGTCTTGCATGTCTTCCCAGCCGTTTGGTCGACCCTGAAAGTAGTTTCCACTAGCATTATTAGCAGGTACCATTGTGGTATCTGTAGCATCGCAATCAAGAGTTCGTAGGTTGGGCCGATACCAGTAAACAAGTTGGTCAGAGGTGATATACTTGTTTGGAGAAGAATCACCCGCATGGTATGCAGCAATGTATGGCTTAGCCATATCTAACCAACCATCATGAGGCCTTAAAATGTCAGTACTTATTTGTCTCGAAACAGAAAATTGTACTTACATATCATTGACCCATTTTGAATTTCCATCATCAAAATGTAATGAATCCAAGGGACCAATGTAATGGGACTCGCCATAGTCATTCCAAGTTACAATCTCGATAAATTGGGGCCCGAGTGTCAGGATTTCGTTCCAACGATTAAACCATAAGAGGTCGGATGGGAAAATCCAGTTCTTGCTGTAGGGTACTTCCTTCAGGGCTGTTAGTATTATACTTGATTCTATCAATAGGGGAAACTCACTGGTCCAAAATGAGTGCTGAACCACGGAGAAACCGCTAGCAATAATGTTAATTTTTATCTCTCAAATCGGACTGTCTATACATACGTGCGATGTAAGGCTTTCCAGCTAGTGCTTCAATATAGGCCGCATCACCGGCTTCGACAGTGACGTTATGACCAGGAGTAGGTGCCTTGTTATTTCCATCATTGGGCCATCCCTGAAAGGATTTAGATTTGCGTTAAATGAGGAAGAATGAGTACTCACCAGCCAATTTAAAGCGCCGTCAATAGTGCCGAAGTTTGTTCCCATCTCTGGATGGAAATTGGGAGCGAAGAAAATTGGAATACCCGCTCCAGCTCTTAGGGCAGCAATATCAAGCTGATCACCAGCAAACGAGGAAGCAAACGCCTTGTCCTCAACGAAGAGTTGCGCTGGCAGAGCTGCGTATTTTGCAATCATTTGTCCAATCTGTGTTGCCTGACTTGATGGATTCCACCAGTTGAAATCGAAGGAAATAAAAACTTTCATCCCATTATTCGCGGCAGATTGATATGCAAAGGCGAGTTGAGTATCCGTATATGGGTCCACTCCAATATTGAGAGCAAAGGCATCGATACCGAGGGCCTTGGCACGCTGCATATCCGAGTCGTAATCTTGAGGACCTACACGCTCACCTACAATACCAATCTAAATCATACGTTAGTAAAGCAATAAGTTGAGTGATACCGCTCGATCAAGAAGAAGTCTCGAAGAGAGCTTCAGTGCCTACGTACCATGAAGTGACAGAAGACAAGTCTGCCATTGTACGAATCTTTTCGCTCGAGAGAACATGCGCTATGGGATGTTGGAGCTGCAATAGCAAACGTTGCAGCGAATATCAGCAGAATTGCCTTCCAGAAAGGAGTGGCCGAGACCATCGTGTTTCTCAGGACCGTCAAGTATTCAGAGTAAAGTTATAGAAGGTCGTGGTTTGGTGATTGACTTTGCTTGTTAAGAAGGTGTGTTATGGGTGGAATGGATGTATAATCAAATGGCGAGAAGGAGAGAAGCAGGTCCTTTTGTAATCTAGATGTTTTCCCGCATAAGGACAGTAATCTACATTAACCGACATTGTACCTCCTCGGTGATTGTAGGGATGGCCACGAGAGCACAGAAAGTTATTCACTATCATATTGAATCAACACACTAAAGATAGATTTATCAGACGCTCCACCACCATTGGGTGAACTGATATGGTCATGAATTCTGTGTAGCGCTGTGAATAATTAAATGAATAACTAATAGCACGCGACTCCCTATATTTCGCCCTAGAATAAAGTACTAGATGGCGAAGATGAAAGACTACGTCGTAATCTTGGCGTTTTAGTCGATGTTAAACTTTGAGAATTCCAAACGCGCGTTTCCAGCACCAAGTTCTAGAATGCCACTGACTTCAAAAAGAGCAGATGTTCCATGAAATCATAATAAGTGGGAAGTTATGGACTGGAAGACAGAAGACGTATCATGCGTACCTACCTCGAGCACTCAATTATACGGCTAGAACAAAATCTGAGGTGGCTTTAAACTTTCTCTACTAGCTAAGCGGTCGGAGAATTTTGTACATGAGGACCCAGTCTCATGGGAATATAACCTCCGAATAGCCACACCGTCAGCTTGTCGATATCATCATAAGCCTTTGCACCTACATGAATAAGGGTGCACTGAACACGTTCACTACGCATCCCAATCCGAAATAATGTGGCTCCTTTGTATGGCCATAAATCACCCCTGGCGAGATTCCCGCTGGGGAACCCGCTTCCAAGATTGTGGGGTATGAAACACAGTGTTTATATGGGGAAATCATTCACAACATAATGTGATAGCTTCTCGAGTTGTATTCCTCGACAAAGATCGCCAGCAAGGTCATCGGGCTCAAGCAAGTCATCGAGGTGATGTTTTGACAAGAGAATGATGTCTCGGATGATCACAAGCTCAATTTTGACGGGCCGATTTAAAGTTTGAATTAGACTTCGATAACACATCAAACTGAGAGCAACAGAGACGTCATAGAATCTCGAATCGTATTTAAATCACGGTGGCTGCATCGAGTGTAATGCAATCCGACCAGAAACACCCAAAATACCGCTGATGAAGCTTGGTTCGTCGTATTTGTCGGGAGGCAGTGAAAAGCATAACATCGGGACCGGCGAATCAAAAGTTCCGAGAAGACGCATAGACCATCGACCATTCAGTTATTCTCTCATCTGATCACGTGCAGATACGATATCTTGTGATCTTTGAGGACTTATCTTCTCCAAGCGTGTTCTCCCTTTGATAAGTATCAACATTAATACAGCTTTAACTATCAGTAGCTTTGCCCATTCTTTCTTTATCAAATGCTGGAATACAGCGAGGTACCCCAGGAGCTCAGGTTGTTGTGTTGATTATCAGTGCACAAGCCTCAGTCACGTGTAGAAGCGTGATGACCATTGTCGTGAACGTGCGCGGTAAGAGGATCCTTGTTATTGGTACTACAGTACAGTAGAGAGCCGCTCCGCATGATTCAATTTCACGTCAAGATAAGCTTGGCGAATCCCGATGCAGTAGGATCTCGGCTCGGGTTAGATTCAAGAATACGAGTGCCGATCATTATGTGAGCATGAGGTTTAGCCACGTAGGGTTGCATATTTCAGGTACATGAGGACGTTGATCCAAGCAACTTCCACTTCAAGTAGTCGAAGCTTACTCTGACTTGATCGCAATTCAGTCAGCAAATCCTACGGATCAGATAGCCGTCTTGGCTGTACTGAGCCTCATTTGACTTGTTGTTTGAATAACGTCATTTCGAGATGACACTTTAAACTTGGTATGACATGAAGATGGAGATCGCTCTCAATATATAACAAATATAAAGTTGTTTGAAAATGTTTATATCTCACCAGCAACATTATTCAAGATGTATTCATATCTACCATTAATGACAGCACTACTTGTGCCTTTAACCTCTGCTCAATCCGATTCTACAGCCAGCAGCGGCACTGGGTCGGGCCCCTCACAGAATGGCTCCTACTTCGAACAGTACAATCAACAGCCCAACGCTACTGGCAATGGCCATTTAGTCGGCGCCAATACATCCGATACCCCCATGTCCCTATCATTTGTTAACTGGGACACACAAATTAACGTCATCGAAGTCCCGTGGACCGGCAATCAAACAGTGACGAACACGGTGATATCACTCAGCGCCTCAGACAATGATTTCCCCGCCAATTCCTCATGGGAGACTTGCGTAGTTCTCTTCACAAATGTGCCCAGGAACGTGACGGTGAAAGGTCAAGATGATACCGGAGACTGCACGGCCTTGTATTCCGACGATTGCATAAGTAACTTTACTGTTGCGATTCAAGATGCGAGAGCAAAGGCTACCGCAAGAAATTCTACAGGTGTTTGTGGGGGTATGTCGTTTAATGACATACCAAGCCAATGTGCAGGATCGATACTTCTTGGATCTATTGCTCAAAGTATGTCTAACCCCCATCCTCAGATCATCAATGAATGCTAATAAATCTATACAGACATTACATCAAATCAAACTGATGGTTCAGCATGGATGTATGAATCCAGCGATCCCCATGATTCGACCAACTTGACCTTCTACGAAGAAGCGGTTACGAGAATATGGCCAATGATGCTGATTCAAAGTCCGAGCGCTGATATCGATGGAGGGGCGGGGTTCACACATGCTGGATTGAGTTGTCTGAGGGCGGAGAATGTTACTAATGGAAGCAAGGAGGTTGATGGTGTTCCTGGAGCCGGGAATAGATTGTTTCTTGGTGGATGGGCATTATTGCTCGTGACGGGCGTTATGGGGCTTTTGCTGTAAGCAGCAGCGGATCATGAAGTAAATCATAATAATTTTCACGCTTTATAAATCACTTCAGCCACGATGGGATCGATTAAGAAAAGAGTGGGTCTCTCCTAAAATGGTTCCCGCCACAAACATTGTTTCAGGTGAAAAATATTGTCTACTGCACACAGCATTCGCTCAAGAGCGCCTCTGGAACGTTAAAATATTCTACAATCCTCCTGCATCGCGACAAACACAACAAACACGTAATTTGTGTGAAGCTGTGATAGCATTTGACTTCGTGATAAATTCCAGCTTAATGCCTCTGATATCTTTTGCGCTGACTAAAATCAGAACAATACCTAGCTCTCGGTTCTCCCCTAGGTTCGGAGGTACCGAACTTGCACGAGGGAGATTTTGGAGGCATACGCATGATTTATAGCCCAAATGAGAAGTATCTAGACTGTTAGAATCAGAGATAATCCATGATAGCTCTTAATAACTTTATTCATTGTTCCTTTGATTTGTATTTTTATTTTGAAATGGGGAAAAAATGGGGACGATTATTCACTGCGTCTAAGAGAAAATCACATCTTAAATTTCTTGTTGATGATTCGGAAAGCCCAGCTGTCTTTCTATTTGACACATTCTCTTTTGCATGAAAACTAGAACTCATTCAATACAGCCCAGCTAAATCATTCAATCTTGTAGCCGGGCTATAATTTTGCCTCGGCTCAGATGCACGCGTGAATCCTTCACATTCCTTCTTTCCAACTCACTTGTGAAATGACTTTGAATTGACCTAATTTTGATAGAATATTAATTTCTCAAAACTTTCGAATGTTCTCAGCAAGCAGATCTAAAACTTCATATAATGCGAAATGCCCCCCTTCCGCGCCTTTCACATCATAGATGAGCGTTACACATCGTTGCAACAAAGAATTCGGCTGGCAATAGCCATTAGCAAATACCAGAAATCAAGTGTAGTGCAATGAATACCTCAAAGAATAATCATCAATCTATACCTATCCTTAGGAAATTATGCAACACCACCTGAATTGGCAATACACAGGGATTATTCATTCATCTGAACGTCAACTCGACAAATTTAGCTACCATAACTTCCAAGGTTCCTTCTGACAGTTTTCTATTCCATCTACCTTCGACAGTTCCTTATTCAACCCCATTCTTTCATGTGGTTCTTAAATGCAAGATATCATACCTAGTCGATGTAATGATTTCTTCTGCTCTCCACAGATATTCATCCACATGATGAAAACAAAATCTTATATTCAGGCCACAAAAAATCTCGATGTAAGAATTCTTTTTTTGAAGTATCGACAAAATCTTGATATTCTGGGAACCTGCATCATATCCCCTTCCCTCTTATAGTCTCAAGTTTGGCTTGCAATAGTCATCAAATCATATCAATGATTTTCGTGATCTAAGTCGTCACTTCTCGAATATATACACACAATCTACGAGTTTGCAAAACTACTAAAACTTAGATTAATTACTGATTATGAAAAATGTCAATTTTTACTTCTGGTCAGACTCTGTCTACAACTGCTATTGTAGTAGGTTCGTAATATGTTAATACTCGTCTTACAGATATAGTCGGCAGAAACAATACATACCTACTATTCATAAGCGAGGCGTAGCTTATGCCCCCGCCCCGCCATCGGGTCAGTGACGACACATACATACATACATCGCATATTTACCCGGAAACCCGGTAAAAAATGACTCGATTACCGCAGTCTAGAAGGAAATAATATCTTCGGAGAATTATCATTTCAAAAATGTTTTGCGGCATTGTCGTCTTGCTTAAGTATAAGTATATTGAAAAAACAAAGAAACCCCAGTCTACAAAACAAGTAATGCCACACACGATGTCGGGCCACATAAAGTTCGTTCCAATCGTAATGAATTTCGACCAGCATAACTTCGAGAAAGAAAATCAAACACACATAAGATTCCAATAGCAAAATCTTCATACCGAAATGAAACTCAAATGAGAAAAGCAAGCTTGCACTTGAACGAGATAAGGAAAAAATGAAAAGTGCTAGGGAAAAATTAGGGTCGAAAAAGAATCGAAAATTGACAATGGAATTAGTCTCCCGAGAATCATGAAGCAAAATGAAAAAGTTCGAACTAGTTTTCTAAGCCGCAAAGAACTATCGGGCAAATATTAGTATTGCCATCACAGACGATTGGTGCTTCACCCACATTTCCTTGACAGGATACGGTAGGCTTGCCTGGACAGAATACATCACCCACAGCCGATCGGCCCCCCTTATAGTAGCAATCAGCTCCCGTGCCTTTAGGGGGAAGAGCGAAATTTCCTTCAGGATATGGGATAGGATTTGGAAGAGGATCATGACTTGTGATATTTTGGTCCTGAACAGAAAAAAGTCCACTGGTTTGACATAAGTCCACATGACCTAAATTGATATCTATCAATTTGTTGATGTACATGTACCACAGGTTTCCGGTTGACTTCTTTTTATTGTGGATTTGATGCTAGAAATTAATTTGAAACATATTGATCGTAGTAGTGGCTTCAATAGCTGGAGTAGTTGTGGATGCAAAATAACTTGATAGAACAGCAATTGTTGAAGAGCGAGCAGGTGCGGCGAAAGAAGTGGTTCGTGGTTCGTGGTGATGACGCGACGGAACTAGATGGCTGACCACTATTACTACTCCTGGATACACTGACTTGACTTGTGCTAATAGATACGGAGGGTACCCACGACATATTTGCTTCTGGTGTTTTGAAATTGAAGTTGACTTAATTATCACAGAAGCATTAGGAACTTTTGGGGCGGATAGATATCCAATGTTAACAAATCAGGAAGCGGCAGTTCCATGTTTCTCACGATAGGGAAAACAAGGTGACAAGCGTCATCAAGAACTCCGTCCACAAGGCTACTTGTCAGATTGAAGGCGGCACCAAAAAGACTACCGTGCTGAACTTTTGGAAGAGGTTCACAAGGACATTCTGGAATGGTGACTTTAACAAATGGTATCTCGATATCCTCATCACCATTTGAATCGGGATTTTTGATCATTACGGTCGGGAAAGCGCGCAAATTAGTGATACTTGGAATGTAAAATGTGGAAGCCGTGAAGATACTAGCAATGTTCTCAGTAGAACTCGGAGTGTGTCCACCTTTGAATATTGGAAACAGCAATAATTATAATTAACACTGTGCTACCCAAGGTGAAGTTGATACTTTGCAAGAATTGATAGCAATGAAAGTTGTCCATACAGTAAATGTCGCAGTCGGTTTAGGAGTAATCGAGACCGAACACCATATTCTGCCGATCTCATCCGTAGCTGTACGTAAGGAAAGCAATTAGGAATTGGGAGTGGAGACAACAAGGGTACTGGTTCTAACGATGGTGATAAAACCACCAGGCTGAGTAGTAGTGAAAGAATTCAATGCCGAGAGGGGTATTAGAGGCAACGGAAATGCTGATGATTTCGGCACACCAGAAGAAAGTGAAACAGTGTGATATGAAAAAATTGATTGTGTAACACTAGGATGATTTACAAACGATGAAGTGAGTCGTATTTTAGTCTCTTGAGAGGTCTTTGTATTCGAAAACCATACAGAAGACATCTTGGAAGATGGGGTATAGCCAGTACTGAGACCGGAAGAAAAGATTGGCATGTTTCTCCAGATTGGCGATAATGTTACAGAAGGATTCGAACCAGTGTTAGTTATGGCGTTTATATCTGATGGGACCTGGATGCTCATGGCTTGAGATGCTTTTACCAGTGACACCGAAATTTAAACCATGCTGCTATTTGTAGTAAAATTTGCCGTTGGGGATTTTATGGGTGGAACAGTCTGAGAAAATCCTGTCACTTGTCATATGAGCTTTCTCTTGGGGACCTTTCTTGAAGATGCGAGATTGGTTGAATCAGATGTTCGAGCGCGTAGTCTCTTAAGTGGTGTCCAATTGAGATCCACTAGTATATCATTCGGGTTGTTTGCATTGTACTGGATTGCGGGTTGAAAGTATGTGATAGCTCCATCTCTATTGAATCGATTTCCTTGAGAAAGTTGCTGAGCTCCAAGACCGAATGTAGCCCATAAATCTAGCATTCAGAGTTTTTGAGAGTTTTAACTACCCGCATTCTTGAATCAAGAATTTTAAGTATGGCAGAACAATGATATCTTATCAATTACTGGCTCTTTTCTCTCGTACCATTTTTTCCCAATCTTTGAAACCAAATAGGTTATACTCCAAAATTTCGTCAGATCAAAATGCGTCCTATAGCTCAACGCACTTTCATATTCGAGAGAAGTTTCAGTCATGCCCTTAAACTTTGTACCGAGAAGATCTTACCACATCGATGTATGTGGGAAAAAATTGGACTATGCTATACTCAACGCTCTCCCCTGATTTATTATCGGTCATTGCGGCATCTTAATCAGCTTTTCTACTTTCTAAGATGCTCCTAGAGCATTTTTCAAAGTCATCTGTTGACATCGTGTCACCGCTAATGAATGAACTTTCATAGAAAGCAACTTCATTATCACCAGTACCGACACCAGTTTTCCGGTCAAATCACAGTACATTACCTATTAGCTTTCGATCTATTTATATGTAACTGCGGATGAGTTAGAACTTTACCACGCCGGCTGCCGTCAAGAGATTTGCATTAGGACCATTGGTAGCAGGAGGCTCAAACCCCGAATTTGCAAGAGCAATAGGATCGGCTGGAACAGCTGTCTGATATCCATTCCCATTTGAATTTGGACCAGCAAAGTTGGCCATTATGTAGTCAAATCCGTCTAAAGTACCTCTGTCAGCATAGGTCACCGGTGGGTGCATGGACTGGTAGGACCCCATAAAGATTGACTTGACAATATCTTCTGATATTTTGACTTAGACATATCGAGAATCATTTCAATAATTTATTACAGATTCAAAAGTTCAGAAATCTGTTTTGATGGGAAACAATTGGAAATTGAATTTGTCACAAATTTTGAAAGTTGAGAGAAATTCTGCTAATTTATCTACCTCCTGGTGGATGCGTATACATAGGGAATCAGGGAAAATGTTGTGCATCACTTACTTTTTACATATTGATAATTGATAGGAGAGTCCTGAAATTTTTCCGCAGGCGGTCCAAAGATTTTCCCCGTCAAGTCTCTGCTCTCAGTATCAGGAAAACCCCATATATTGCCGTTAGGATCATTCTGTACAGGAGCTCCAATAGCAGTTTGAGCGAGATGACCCATTTCAAAAACAGCAAGGACGCCTTGATCTAAGAGTGATAGGTATTCTGCTGCTTGTCAGTTAATCTGGACATAAAGCGAAGATTCAAGGAAAGCGGGTCAATTACTGTTACATGATGCTAAATCGTAGTACATGCCTGCCGAAGCCTGAACTATAAGACTAGAAAGCAGAAAACCTGACTGCAAATTTTTAAGCTTGGTCATGTTGATAGATAGAACTCAGCAGATAATCACAGAATCAGAACGAGGAAATGGCTGGCTTGTAATGTTGGATAGCATATGATGCTTCAAGAAAATACGAGCGCCTTTTATGCTAAATTCTTGCCAGAAGTCCCATCTTCAAGAGGCTGTGGACAAAAATGAAGTGTAACATATATTTAAAGATCCAACTGATGAATTCAATATATCCTAGAACATAATCGTATGCCTTCACCGAGGTTTCCCCCCACTGATCCCTCATTACTACTTGTAAACTTCACTGTCTTCGATAAATCCCTTCTTTAATTGTTCTGAAACTCTTTTCCAAAGCTCCGCTCACCTCGATGCTCCTCAACCTCAATTGAGAGTTAGGAGTTAACATACATCAACCAGCAGATACCTCCCTCGCAACACCATGTCATGAGTTATTTTGGGGCATTTAGTCTTGCTCCTCGACAAGTGTCACGGTTTTAAACCTTCACAGTAAATGTGATGGTCGCAAAAGTTTCACGAAATCCTACCAACATGCAGGATCTAGGAAGTAAGGTTATACAAACGTTTGAGACGGGCTGAGCCAAACATTTCTTCACTAGTATTCCAAAATGAGCAGGTTATTGTATCTATCTGCGACTTAGGACCAACTTTTTTTTCGCCGCCGCCAACCAACAAGACAGGCAAGCATATACATTCCTTCATTGCAGCCTTGAACTTCTTCATGCATCTTGAATTTGCGGTGGCATCCATAACTCTGAATTTGACCCACTACCCAATCAAACATTCGATAAAGCTTGTTCTGATCCGCCAAATTCACATGTAAACTCACCATCAATGCTGGGGGCTACAAAATCCTTACCACGATGGCGGCACAGAATATGAAACAAAACAGAATGTGACAAAGAGCCAATTGACTATCGTCGGATATAAAAGTAACAGAAAGAAACAAAGAGGCTGTATGCATATAACAGTAGGATCCATAAATCCCAAAAATTGATTCTCGTCCCTGGCGTTGCTTTGGTATGTGAGGCATCAGAACTCGAAGATCTACCCCGCATGTGTACTAGCACAACGAAAATGGATTTGGGCAGACGGAAAGCGGAACATTAGCAAAATTGCACTGGTTCGTCTTTATCTTGACACTTAACAAGATGAGATGGATGTTGTCAGAAAACATTCGAGATTGATTCTAAGAGTACATGGGGGCTGTATAATCACTCTACCAGTTCGAGGGTTACACTCTAACCCAGCCTCGTCACGAGATAACCACAACTGTTGGAAGCTCGAGTCCCAGAATCAAGTATTCGAGGTTACTTACGGATTATTTTCAGTCACGCCTACCTCCCTTCTTTCTCCAACTTTTGGTAATTATTATTGTGATTTGTTTCTCTCAAAGTGCTTCGAAACTGTCTCTGATATGGCCAATCGTGGGCGCAGAAGTCAGGCGGGCCTTCCCACACCGATTGAAAAATATGTCATAATGCCTATTTGTTATGCCATATGCGGCCCTCCTCTAGCAATTGCGATTATCAGTCTCAACTGCTATGAATTTATAAAAACGACTGATTTCAACCCGGTGCACTATCACCATAAAAAGAAAGAGAAGATTCGACTTCGTGAGGAGGAAAGGATACGCGATAAAATACTGGCGATTGTGGGTAAAGAATGGGTGAAAAGTATGGAAAGCAGGAGGGCAACAAAAGGCATTTCTGATGAGTTACAAGGCCGAGATAGACAAGATGGAATTGTTTGGGAAGGGCAAGTAAGTCGGCAGAATGATAGCTTGTTGTGCTCGATGCCGAGAGAAGTGCGAGATAGAATTTGGAAAGAGATTGTGGGTGGATATTTGATTCGTATCATTTGGTTGAATGCATACAGGAGATTCGAGATTTTTAGATGCAAATGTGTAAACGGAAAATGTATCGGAGCAGCCTGCCAGGGGATCAAGAAGGGTAAAGGGGTGAAAGACCACTGGGGAAACGTGGAACTTCTTGGTCATCTGCTGGTTTGTCGGAAAATTTCAGTCAATATCTGTTCAAAGATATTTTCAGACTGATTATTTGCAACAGGTATGAGGACATACTTCCACTTCTAAATGGAGAAACCTATTTCCAATCCATCCAAATCAGCAATGTTCTTCGCTTTTTTCTTATGATTCCCCTTCAGCAAGTCTTCATGATTAAAAAGGCTCACTGGTTACAACCGAGGTAAGAATGATCAATAGCCACCGTCTTTACTTTGAATTAGAGACTAATTCCGCTAGAATCTACGTTGGAAATCCATCAGAGCTTTGACAAAATGACAATAAATACTCAGCGCTGCCGAAATGTAAAAGTATGGCGAAGGATGCTATTGCTTACGATGCTGGCAAAGGGAAGATTGGCAGAAGCATTACCTTGAAGCCTGCGCGCCTAGGCACACAGATTACAACGGGTTTGAGAACGTATGCTATGCATGTTGACCTCAAAATCCAGCATCAAAAACCTGGCAGTAAACCACGGTCTATGTTGAGCTCAAGACAATCGTTTCAGGAAACAGATACGATTAGTATGTAATCTTACATATTTCTTCTCAGAGAACATCTAGGAAATTCTTAATCTTGGCTCTTTATTACCACATACGGCAGATTACTCTCGTAACCCTCAAAAAGTCATTTAATCATTCTTATGCCGCCAAGATTCTATGATAGATTCTATATAGAATTTATATCAAAAGTATGAGATCTACCCTACAATAGCTGTAGTCCCTCCCTCCCCCAAAAACCGAACATTTAGAAAAGATATCAGAACTTAATCATAGGAACTACCCTTCTTCTATTACAAACTCTGAGCTCATTCCAGAACCTACTCTAAGACGACTAAATTCCATTCTCTCTTCTATTATAGAATCTAGGAGGGATAAGAAGAATATACTCTACCAAATAACTTCCCCCAACGCCAGAATTATAGCAAACTACCGTCACGATTAACTCCACTCAACCAACTACAGTACGGCTGGATACGACATACTATAATTATGATTAAGCTCCCACGAATCTGAGAATAAATTAGCCAGAATATGCATCACTTCTTTCACGATTATAGACAGAAGACTTTTCTCGCACCTTTAAGATCTAACTTTCAAACGTATGAAAGAGACCTCAAACTTGATTTTCGCTCACATTACTGGATGTGAATATTATGGCCTCAAATAAATGAACAGAATACGCTAGTGCCCCAATAACTGCCACTTAGCCGGAATTGACAACGAAAATAATGTATTCACCCCAAACAGCTCACTGTTGATTTGCGGGCTTCGGTTTCTCCCGAACACTCATTTCATGGGGCTTGACCTCACTGGCTCGGATTTACATATCATACGATTTGAATGTGTCTTTATGCATCTAAGCAAAGCAACTAAAACTAATTGAAATAGAGAACACTTCGCGTAAAGACCCAAATGCCAGTATTTCGCCACAAAATGCAAGACTGATCCTCCACTCCCCGAGCCCGTTCATCTCTCATTTAGCTCTAGCTCTAAACTCAACATAAGGACCATCCTTCATACTAGTAAAACTATCTTTGAGCTGATATTCCTCTTTCCTCCGTCTACTGACTTCCATATCTTCACTTCCCTCTCCGACGGTATATCCCTCTGCCATCCTCATCTCATACATGAAAACCACTCTAGCCAAACTAGTCATGAGCTCAACATATGCTACGCCCTTTCCAATACATCCTCTAGGACCGATGCTGAAAGGACAGAAAGCGCTTTGAGCAAGTGCTACCGAATCTTTTGTGACCTGCGGCGAAGAAGATGGAATCCAACGTTCGGGGATGAAGGTAAAGGGAGATGGGTAGTAGGCTGGGTTGTGGTGAATGGTGTAGTGAGGAGTTCCAACTACATAGCCGGCTGGAATGTGGAGACCATCGATGTCGATGCCGCCTGGAAGAACTTCACGGGGAAGAATGCCACCGACGGGTGGTGAGAGACGCATTGATTCATCAACGACTGCTCGGAGGTATGCGCAACTATTGAGTGTGGGACTTGAATGGATTTCTTCGACATCAGAAAATGTGGACATGATTTCTTTTGTAAGAATCTCCAATTTATCAGGATTATGAACCAGATAGAAGAAAGCAGCAGAAAGAGCTGTGGAAGTGGTATCAGATCCAGCAATGATGAGTAAATTGCTCTCGCCCCAGAGTTCTGGTGTTGTGAATCCTTGTCCTGTCTCTGCATCGCGAGCATTGAGCAAATAGTAGAAGAAATCTTTTCTGTCAGTATCAAGTCCGATCTTGGTTCTTTCGGAGGCTTGAGCTCTGCTGTATGCCATATACTTCATTCTTTGGGCATAGATCTTACGGAAGAGAATCTTGCTCAAGCCAATGGTCTTGATGATCGGATATGTGCCAGTCTAATAAGTCAGTAGTGTTCCTAGAGACATTGATTAGGTACTTACAATCAAGTGAGTGTGAGCAGCGTTTCCAATGAGATCAATCACGTGACGATTTGAAGCATTTTCCAACATCTCGAATGCTTTGCCGAAACAAAGATCACCCATAACATCAAACGTCAGGTAGTTACACCAATCAGACATGTTCTGAGCAACACTCCATCCACCAGTCGACTTTTCTGCTGATGCTTTTGGTTGACCCAGATTGGTACAGAAAGTTCTGACATTAGCTAAAATATACTTCTCCATAGTCTTAATGGCGTTGTCTGAAAACGCATGGGACAGAACTCTTCTTTTTCTTGCATGACTGGCTTTGTCGATGCTGCTGTGAGTGTTGAAAGTATCCTTGGTTGGAGGGAATACCGAGTAGAATTGAGACTTCTTGACATTTGACTTGTGACCATAGATAGTTTTCAAAGCCGTGTTGGAATTGATTGAAAGGCTATCAGGACCATATCGAAATACCGGACCTTGAAAATTAGCATCATTCAGCTCTTTGCACGAATGAAATTACTTACCATATTTCTCATGGCATCTGTAGAACTCGAGATGCCTGTCGCCTTTCCATGCGTGGTAT